CAGTGCCTGTACAAGGAACCCCTGCCAACGAAGATGATGAAGACTTCCAGTCCTCCCCCAGCACTGACATATGCCACGATATGATTAGCCATATGCCCACCCAGTCAGAGTACAGGTGTCACGACGAACTTTTGGATGGTCAACATAGACTGCACATCATTTGCGGCAGTGAACAATAGTACTACGGTTACCAGTACATCAGTTTCATGTGCAAATAAATTTACCTTCTTCGGTGCGAGTACGAAGGTGTCAATGATGCGATGGTCATCAAGGGACCCAGTCAATGCCTAAGCTTAGTACGCCGCTGTAACAGCACTCACCAGTGTCCTTTACTGCTGCCGAAGCCGCAGACGCGGATGTTATCCCGAGGCTCGCATATGCGCACGACTACAGCCTTGTGAGAGTGGTGTATCCTCATCAGGTTGACATCCCCCGTCAGGACGGTGCAGCACGTCGGTACGACAAGACCCTCGACAGCCGCTTCATCCCCGATTCATGTCCAGGCTCCACTTAGGCGCCTTTTTTTTTCTTCATTTACATGCTATATGCGCCAGCTCCAACGCTGCGTATCCGATTTCGAGTGACCTGGAGACACCTATCACTAAATTCTAGCAGCACGTGCACTCACCTCTTAATGCCCCAGATACTAAATAGCCTTTTCATCCGCAACAGGCTTTGCAGACCTCACAATGGAATTGTAGACATCATACGCGGTATCTTCCATATCCTTTAAGGACGTATCAATGTCCGGGTATTTGAAAGAAAGATCCTAGAGCTCAGTAAGACAAGATCGGACTCCTGGTTGTGTTGTATGTCGTCGGTGCCGATAGGGCATGCGCACGGACACTATGGACCACCACTCGATGGGCCTTGGCCACGGCTGCTTGGATATCTACAGATTGGTCGATGTGTATTGCGGCAACAACTTGGAAAGTTAGACGTTTGACAACGATTCAATAATCAATTGGCGTGTGTGAACTTTGAAGTTGGCGTGAAGCAGTAGATTTTCTGGCTCGAAAGTTGGATTCTTGGCCGACGTTTTAGTTTGCAACGCAAATTTCTCTTCTTACGTCTCGAAAAGTCACAGTTTGGCGAAAGGCCTCGAAACAGGTCGATAAATCTGATGTTGTGTACATATCTACCTAAATCTGGTCGTTGTTCACTGGGATCGACGGCTTGCCTCATAAACGGGTTGGTCACCGTTCCTGGATCAAGTACTCGGCAAACGGGACAAGGTTAAGACAGGTGCTGCTATCTCTTTGCAACTGTAGTCGTGTAGGCTACTCCACAGCCTCGGGACAAACTCCAGCCTGCTGTGATCCTATATTTGGAGATCATCCATGTCCATTTCATCAGGCAGAAATTATACTGGGGAATCTATGTCGTTGCAGTGCTGTGGCAATATTACGCTTGATTATGACAATCATGCCTACAATTTCATGAACTCATCGGTTTCACTGATGCGGCCTATTTCGGCACTCGCCACACTCGCGTCACATCTGGTTCTTCTGATGGCGATAAGGCTACATGGTTCGTGAGCCCAGCGCTTGGATCAGACCTCGCTAACGATGTCCTCGGACTCCACCAGTAATCTCACTCTCCTGTCAGCGAACTTTTAGTGCCATCTTTTGGGCATTTCTGTCGGTCACCTGGATGTGTTCTCGGTGAGCATATTCTCGCTGGTGACTTCTAAGCCTACGTTCAGGTCCATATGCCCATATGCCCGGGAGCCTCATGCCAATCATGAAATGGTTTCACCGGAGCTGGGGGGGAGATATCATACGACGCACTATACTGATGCACCAGTGCCAGGCCTGGAAAGAAATTCGAGCCTTCCTGTGAGGGCGTGTCTCGGGATCAGTATTGTACCTCCGAGTTACGATCGCGACGCTCGAGGAAAGCGCTGCACCATAAAGGAGATCTGCGTATTTTTCCTTTGGAAGAAAGGTTTTGCTGGACGGAGATAATTGGCTCATCCGGTCATCCTAATATCTCGATATTCTCGACGAACGTTATAATCTGCTCAAGAGTAAGTATGAGATCCGCCCGTGTAGCGCCGACAAGCTCCTGCGCCCTTTTCCGACTCATTCTTCCACTGCGGACTGTTTGATGTGTATTTCCCGTAAGGCAAGTCGTGTTTTGATACGTTGCGACCATAGACTGATGTTAGGTTATAGGCATGGGTGTGATCTTGATCGGTGCCCCTTGTCGGATTTAGCCGTGAGTGTCAGCAGCAAATGACCGCTCAAGAAGTCAATGTGTATGCGCTTTGCACAGGAGTGAAGATTGCTGTGATTGAGATGCCAGAACGGTACGGGTCAGGTTCAACATCGCATCCCGTACGTTTTACTGGTCCGTCCCACTCATCCCCTATAAATACTGGAAATTGACTTAAGCTTCCAAATCCACCTACAAATCAATGAACCGGCAGAACTTTCTGTTAGTGTTTACAATCTTCACCTCGACTCTCATATTCGCTCTTTGCTGGGCTTTCAACATTCAATTATGGCTTAAAAAATATGTCATTCTCAGTGACCACATCGCCAACTTCATCACGAAATATCCCACCGAACTCACCCTTATATCCACCGTGATTTCTACAATTCTATCGGTAACCACCACAGCGTAAGTTTAGATAGCTGGTGCATGTAGTGATTTCGCTGATATCTAAGTACATCATGATCGACATTGCAGTCTTTTCTCAATCGCTGTCAAGCATGCACTTCGCCATTATATCACTGGCACTCGCCGGCCAATATCACTAATCGAACTCCACACCGCGATAGCTCTCGCTAGACCTGCACCGCTTCTTCAATGGAACCACCGCAGATTATCTCTTGTTACGTTGGTCATCGTTGGTTTGATCGCTCTCCTTAATTCAAGGTTTGATTTGTTTTATCAGCGTCGCAGCTAACTGACGACCGTCACAGTTGGACGACATTGCTGTTGCCGACACGCCTTTCGTGGCCGTGCCAATCCAGGGCAAAGATCTGGACCTCGCAAGCCCCGCCTTCGATGCGCAACTAGGTTTTGACATGAATGGCAACCAATGTAAGCGCTGTATATCGTCATTGCCTAGCCAGCCTTGATAATCCATCATAGCAAGGACGACCACGTATTACATCAGCGACATTATGGTGTCCATGAGCGGGATGTCAGCCACACTTTCAGTCGTTGTAGGCGGAAATGACAGCGTCTTTGCCTTCAATGGTGTCGCATACAGCAAATCTACTGGTGCGCTCTGATGCGATGGGAACGTGCATCAGTAACTAATTATGTTTTCAGGTGGCATTGTTCCAGCGATCGAAGAATTTGCAGGCACGTCATTGACCACTAGTAGTCTTGGTCTTCAGTACTACGGTGGAAAAGTCGCTCAGATCAACTCATCGGTTGCCAATGACAAATATTCCGGGATTTCTAGAAGTTATAACGTGACACAACAGGGTCTTTCAGCGAACGTTACGTGCGGCCCACTCGACCAAAATGACTCCGAGTACCAGCTGAAGATTGATAATCGTACTATTGACGACGGGATTACGGTTTGGAATGGGACAGCAGATTGTCCTCTCGGCAGTAGGTCTGCTCGGCATACCCCGTATCGACGCAGCCTGATGCTTACTTGTCAGGCGGTCACGGCTCCTGGGCGACTCAGACGACGGCAGGCGGTCCTGATGGCTTTCTCGCGATCGTTGTTTGTCCCTATCCGGGATTCGCGAACGTCTCCTTTGGCAAGTGACCACAACTTGGGCAGCGTCGACGTTGATCCTAACTTCTACATCAGACGTCTTCTTGCAGGGAAAAGGAGAATATAGCGACTTGAATACAACAATCTGCAAGGTTTCCCCATACGTGGCCTCATTCGATGTGGCATACAGCAATGGAAACATCTCTATCGATCAGCCTCAGAACATCCAGCCATTTCAGAACAGCAGCACCAATGTCACGATGTTCATATTGGACATGGTGACTTGGTCCAGCCAGCTTTCTAACAATCCTTTAGCGGAGCTGCTGCAATTTGACGGAATAGGCACGATGCATGACACACTGGTCAGTAACTTTTGCTATGTCTAGTCAGGGTAGACCAACCTTTCTTACGGGTCCAACAGGAAGAATACTTCCGCGGTGTCGTAGAGTTTTCTGCCACAGTGAGTGAATCATCACGTCTTACCTATCCATTTCAAACTGGGGATGACGTGATGTAGTATCTTCGTTCTGCCTACTCTGCAGAAGGTGCGAACACCACGATGCTGGACTTGTACTCGGACGAGAGTGCTTTCAAATCCCTGAATGGAACCATGTTCGTGACGACCTACGGCTGGGGAGAGCGGACGCCTCACATTCATCTATCTCCTTGGACTTTTCACTGTGATCTGGGTCATCACTGTTTCGGCCGCGGGGTACAGTCTGATTCAGGGACGTACTCACTCGGGTCCTCTATTTGATGTATCGAACCCGCTCCATCTCATCATGGCATCTTCTGGGGGAGGACTGGAAGCCTTGCGGGGTTTGAAGATGACGGCGTTGAGAGTAATGAACTTGTACAAGTGCGCCTTCTAAACGGCCATGATGAAGCCTACGATGTCGCAGAGGGGGGGAAGAAGTTCGCTCGGACTAGCGGTTCTAGGATGCGGTTCACGACTGAACTGGTCACAAAAGTAAAGATTCAGGCTACTGGACACATCGAATAGTATGATGCCTCTCAGAGTACTTGATAATGGTTGTATATCCAAAGGGGCAGTAAACGTAAATTTTGTAACACGAAGTCAAAGGGGTAATCCGAAAACGAGCTAAATATTTGACTGTTCCTAATAGAATCCTACTGGTCTTTCAGGAAGCATTGCTCTTAGGCAGGTCACTTGCTGTTATTGAATACTATGGCGTCTTTCATGAGAACTGGGTCGTGACTATATTATAATTTCAAAGTTGAGCATTTTGAATACCAGGTATGGACTGAGGAAATGTGATTGAGTGGTAGACCAATATACATCTGTAGTACAATTTCAGTGGTTGCGCAAGTTGTACACTTTTGTTCCATAGTATACACCCGCAGCACTGCTCGTTGCAGCGAGAACAATGGGCACCGGGCCCTTGGCAATGCGAGGAAGAGATGAGAGAAGAAGCAGTGCTGAGGCACCTAGAGGGACAAAGGTCAGTATACGTATAAGAATGCGAGGATATTAAGGAAGGTGACATACCCAAAGCGCCCTCCAACCCATTTGGCGAGCCTTTCCTGATGGCATCTGCACTCCACAGGAACAAGAGACCAACGCTAGAGTAAATGAGTTGGAAAGAGCACGTTTGTCTGATGCTAGAGAACGACTCACCCAACACCAGCAACGAGTGAAGGCACCGAACGAGATTTTGCATACCCAGTGATGCCGCCGACGACGCAGAGACCGCCCATGGTGTATGCAGGGTAGGCAGACTGGGTAGACTTGAAGTAAGTGACGATCCTTTCATAACTAGGATAAAGCCTTACCATTGTGTAGGTGAATAGGTGATAGGACGAAATTGGATGGAGGTTGCAGTCGTCGTTCGCTTTACCTTCAACCGTGTGTGTGCCTGTGTAATTGCAACGTTTTACCCCGCATCTCACGTCAGCATCTCACGTCAGCCTTTCAGAGTCCGCGACACTTATCTTCATATTAGTGAAAAATAAATAATCATAATCATAATACCTTTCAGCACCATGGATGCTCAGCTCCTCGCACCGCTCACGCAACTTACCACTCTATCCCAATCACTCTTCCTTTCGTTATCTCAGCAGCCATCGCAAAAGCAAGTTCCCCCACCTCCCCTAAGCTCATTCGCAGCCGTCGATGCTGAGCTGCAAACCGCACTGACAATAGCCGCGGCACATCAGCGCCGACAGGCACGAATTGTCGCGTTACAACAGGAGCTATTGGAGGTGGACGCTCGATGGCGCGCTGTGTGTGATGCATTGGAAGAGGGGAGGAAAGTACTAGAGGAGATCGTGAGGGAGGGCGACGAGCGTGTTGAAAGCATAAGAAAGGCGAAGGAGGGTTCGTGGCTCATATTTTTGTTTTTCATTTATTTTTCTTGTTGACATTGAACTCGTGTACACATGAAGCCGCGATCCCTTATCCTGAACTGCTCGCATATGCACAAAGCTTGAGTGCCTTTACGAGCGCGCCGCCAGGCTTGACTATGCCTGAGCCAGGTGCCGTAGGTCCTGTGCCTTTGTTCTTCCCGCCATTCCCGAATGAGGAGAAGATGCGTCGCGGACGATTGAATGTGGAGCGTCCGTTGGGAGGGCTCGGGGAGAACCATAGCGTAAGGGGTGAGTGGTTTTTTAATAGCGAGTTCATTCTACCAGCCATGGGGCCTTGTGGTACACGTGCTTTTATGTTTGGTTTTAACCTTGGGTTGTGTGTTGGACCTTGTTCTCGCTCCCTTTGTTTTTATTTTCTGCGCATCTCATCTCCTTCCCTGTACAATATTTTTCCGTGCCTTCAAATTAAATAAACACAAGCTAACCCATACGCAGCACCAGAGCCCTCTCCTCTACCTGTCCAGAAACGCGAGCGACCAGGCGTAAATCCTTACCGTCATGATACGCGCCCACAGCAGGCCGTGTTCGATCTCGATCTCGACCTCAATCCAGATCTATGACCTCGATTGTGCCATTGGAAGGTCTCTGCGGTGAGCCATATCATGGTCGCTCTGGTTTTTCTCTAACCTGGGAATTAGTAATGCGGTGCGCCGTTGGGGAGAAGACGAGGATTGGTTGAGGCGGTAGTCCCCTCACTATGGTACGACCACAAGACGTCGTCTCAATTGACAGACTGGAAAGCACGCTCTTTTGTGAGGCACAAACTGCCAACGTATGTCCTCAACCTATGGATAGTTGCAGCATTTATAAAGACTGCTGAAAATACTATGCTCGTCATGCCCAAAGGCAGACGCTATGCTGGCCATAGCGATTAATTGCTGACTTTTAACCATTACCAATACTTAGGTCTCACATGTATATTGTCCGTGCAGCAAGTCTAGCTTGCTTCCCTGCCCCTCAATGATATCAAGTAATTAAGACAATGCCAATAGCGTTTGTGAATCCCTCAGTCCTGCAAATGCATGAACAATTTCCGAAGGTGGCTACATGCAGGTGCAGTACTTGAAGGGATGTCAGGACGAATAGCGTGGCACGATGCAGCATTCATGCTTACCGCAGGGTATGGCATAGTAAGACATGCTATACGCGAATGAACATTATTCTTCTGTCTTTTTTGTCTTGCGAAAGGTTCCTAGTGCTACCGTCTTCGCCTCCATCAGGGAAGCTACCTTTGCACCTTCGATAGACATTTCCTCTAAGTCTTCTAGCGGTGCTGGGGCAGGCACAGGTGCAGACTTGGACCGTCTGACCATTTTGGCTAGCACCTCCGTTACACCACTGATACTTCGCCTCTTTCGGCGGCGCTCCTCCTCGGCCCGGATCTTAACCTCTTCAAACTGACGACCCCAAATGATGAGCTGGCGGCGAAAGCCAATATTGGGGCAAACTATTCCACGCTTCGCTTGGACATGCTCAATGGAATCTAAAGCACGCATCGGTGTCGTTGCGACGAGATAAGCGCAAATTAAGATAGGTGACCTCGAGATCCCCTGGAAACAGTGGACCTGCGAGAGGTGCCTCGGTTGGTTCCTACAAAGCCAGAGCTTAGCAATCCAAGGCGTACCAGAACCTTCGTGTCTTCCTTATCCAACGCCTCCTTGATAAACTTCACGACAGGATCGAACCATTCGCAAATCTGCACATCGGCTGAGTCGCGCACAGGAACGTGCAGGACCTGGACATGCTGGGGAAACACGTCCGTGATATCAAAATCGATAGCAGACACGATGTGCGTGATACCAAGGCGTGTGAGGTTGCCTGGTAAGCGGGCAGTGTATAAGTCGGTGAGATAGAGGCGGGGTGTTATGGCTGTTGCTGCGCGTCCGTGAGAAGGGTCGTCATCATTTCTTGGACGTCGGGAAGTTTTCTTTTGGATGAACGAGGATTGCCATGAGTTGGAAGGGAAGGATATCATTGTCTAGAATGGAGCTTAGGTGTGAACGAACCAGGGGTATATATTGATATAGTACTGCGATCGTGTACAAATGATGAGGTTCTTCAATGGGAGCTGTTAATTATATAGGTCGACTTCCGGATCAACTGGATGCCCCGATGAACCAGACAGTTGGAGGTTTCTCAGCCGCCGTAACTTACCAGCTCAGGTACCGGTATATCACACACGCCAAAAACAGCCCATGAACACAACTCTGTCACTCAAACAGGCAAACATAACACGGCGAAAGGGACTCTGCGACCAGGAGATACAGCGGCGTGTCTTGGCAGGTCTTATTTCACAGTACGGCATTATCCCCCGCATCTCGCAGCTGCGTAACTTAGCAACTCTGCCAGAAACCTCCAGCCGAGTCGACGAGATATGTATGGAGTTCGCAGATAACTCACGATAATGCGATGCATGCAGTATGGTATTTCGATAACCTAAGCCATATATATGCAGTAGTCATGGTAGGTAATACACGGGATACCAAGCGTGTGGCATGTCTCTCTGGATTACCAGGGATGAAAGCGGGGAAGTTTACTAGCAGTTGAATCATGATGTAGTGGATGCTTTTTGCTCAGCCCGTGCTTTCCGCTGATGCGTAAAATCAGTACCACATATCACGGGATTTGGAGCAGTCAACCCACCGATCCATTAAGAGCGTACAGCGCGTTCTTGCGGAACTACGTGTGCTTGAGCGCTCAGCTCATAGAGTATAACACCTAGGAACATACCTTGGGATCAACCTGAGAAAAAAAGTAAGCCTCGGACAGACATTGAGTATATTGACAACATACCCCCTTCATTGAACGAGACCGGTTAGTTTGTGGCCTCCTGATGCCATTACGGTGTGCCTTGCTGTTCTGGTTGTGGTTGGTGTGGCTTTGAAAATTTCAGTTGAATATCTAAGATATCTGCGGAATGCCAAACACACTTCTTTGACTTGGCCATGGCGTCGACGTAGGCTTGAGGCTTAGACTCAATCGATTCAATATGTGAATGACGGTGGAATCAGGTATATTGAATGATGTGGCTGAAGAACTATCTAGTTGACCGTCCCACGGTTCGGCAAAGTCCGAAGCTCCCCCACACTCCATCCCTCATCAGATTAGATTATGATACATTGTTATACAAGTGGTTGGCATGGCTATAGATAATCTTGCGTGCCGTCTTTCCTGCATATTTAAAATGTGCATTCTAATTTCTAGGTGTCAGGTGAGTGACCTTGGGTAAACCTACTCCGTTCTTGCTCGGTTCTCGGCCGAATTTGATCGGCCGAGTATGTAACATTGTTTTGCCCCAAGCCCAAACTTGCTTTAAAGGCTGAACGGTTGATATGGCCATCTGCTGCATCATCTCGTTCCCCCCACTTGTCCTATATACCTCTGATCGCCATCATGCCTGGTACAGTTGCTGGTCCCCGAACTCTTCACGATAAAATCTGGGACGATCATGTCATGTAGGGTTCCCCCTGTTCAGTATATCGGTCATGTGCTGATTGATAGACAGAGATGTGAACGAGGATGGCCTCGCCCTCATTTACATCGATCGGTACGTGAATGAGCTTTCTGCCGCGCCTTTGGCACGAACTCACCGCGTCGCAGTCATCTTGTCCATGAGGTTACGAGCCCTCAGGCGTTTGAAGGCCTGTAAGCATATCTATCACGCTGATCGTCGTTTCAATATGCTGATAGGCGCTTAGGAAGAATGCTGGTAGGCCCGTTCGTCGGCCAGACTGCACTCTTGCCACTGTGGATCATAACATTCCGTTTGTTGAAAAATATGTCTTTGCTTGGCATAGGCTAATCTAGATGCAGCACTACTTCCCGGAAAAGCTACAAATCTGTAGATACATTCGTCGCTGAGCCCGACTCGCGGGCGCAGGTCATGCAACTGGAAGAGAACGTCAAGGACTTTGGCTTGACTTATTTTGGACTCTCCGATAAGCGCCAAGGTTTGAATAAATGCAGCTTAGTGTGTACAAAAGCGAAATAACATCGATTCGCCTTTCCAGGTATCGTGCATATCATTGGTCCCGAGCAGGGCTTCACGGTAAGACTTCATATCTCTGGGATGACGGCATGGGGTTGATAAGATCCTATCAGTTGCCTGGCATTACTTGCGTGTGCGGTGACTCACATACCTCAAGTAAGTTTAATATCCTGCTCGTTCGGTCAGGTCGACGTTAATTTGGCCGCGACAGCACACGGCGCCTTTGGTTCCTTGGCGTTCGGTATTGGAACATCCGAGGTGGAACACGTCCTCGCTACTCAAACTCTCTTGCAGAGGAAAGGCAAAAATATGCGCATTACCGTTGAGGGCGAGCTCGCCGAAGGCGTCGGCTCGAAAGATGTCATTTTACACATCATCGGTGTCATTGGGACTGCTGGTGGTACCGGAAGCGTTATCGAGTACGCTGGCTCGGTAATCCGCAGCATGAGCATGGAAGCTCGCATGAGTGTTTGCAACATGAGCATCGAAGCCGGTGCTCGTGCAGGCATGGTTGCACCCGATGAGATCACCTTTACATATTTACGGAAGCGTCCCCTTGCTCCCAAGGGCGAGGAATGGGACCGTGCGGTGGCATACTGGAGAACTCTCAAGAGCGACGAGGGCGCCAAGTTTGACGTTGAGGTTAACATTAATGCCGCTGATATCCCTCCTACCGTCACCTGGGGCAATTCCCCCCAGGACGTCGTTGCGATTACTGGCAAGGTCCCTGATCCATCCACCATGTCCGACCCTTCGAAACGTGCTTCCGCAGAGCGAGCCTTGGCTTATATGGGCCTGCAGGCAAACACGCCTATGGAGGAACTTTCCCTTCAGAAAGTCTTCATCGGGTCCTGCACCAACAGCCGTATAGAAGATCTTCGATCTGCCGCCCGGATCGTCCTCGCTGCCGGTCCCGATGCTAAGGTCGCCCCAAATGTACAAGCCATGGTCGTTCCTGGATCTGGTCTGATTAAACAGCACGCTGAGGCGGAAGGGTTGGACGCTATCTTCAAACGTGCAGGGTTTGACTGGCGTGAGGCTGGTTGCTCGATGTGCCTGGGTATGAATGCAGACCAGTTGGCCCCCGGTGAGCGGTGCGCCAGTACTAGCAACCGCAACTTCGAAGGCCGCCAGGGTGCTGGTGGTCGCACGCACCTCCTCAGCCCTGCTATGGCTGCGGCAGCAGCTATGACGGGTAAGCTGACGGATGTTCGCAAGTTCTTTGGTGCAGATGCGGAGGAAAAAGTTGCTGCTGGTCCTAAATTGAATCTCGCGAGTGCCTTCGACTTCTTGACCGAGTTTACTGGACCTGCGACTGAGCCCGAGCGCCCGTCGCATGCCCAGAGCGCATCCCCATCCTCTCTTCCGCCCGCTTCTTCTCCCTCTAGCGTTTCGAAGTTCACCATCGTAAAGGGCATTGCTGCGCCCTTGCATATCGACAATATTGACACGGACATGATCATCCCGAAGCAGTTCTTGAAAACCCTGAAGCGGACAGGTCTCGCCAACGCTTTGTTCTTCGCTCGGCGCTTCGACCCGAAAACAGGGGAGAAGACAGAATTCATTCTTAACAAGTCTCCTTACGATCAGGCCAAGATTCTCATCTGCACTGGCAAGAACTTTGGTTGCGGTAGCTCTCGCGAGCACGCACCTTGGGCTCTGTAAGCATCCTTTGCATTCGTGCATGTTACAAACGTGCTCACAAAGCCATTTAATAGGAATGACTTCGGAATCCGCTGCGTAATCGCACCAAGCTTCGCTGATATCTTCAGTAACAACACAATGCAAAATGGCATGCTTCCCTTGACCCTGTCTGTGGAGGACTGCAAGGCCCTCGCTGCAGACGCAGAGGCAGGTGTTGAGATTGAGGTGGATCTCGAGAAGCAGGAAGTTAGACGTGGTGGAAAGCCGGCTATCACCTTCAGTGTTGACCCGTTCAGGCGGCACTGTCTTGTCAACGGGTTGGACGATATCGGCTTGACGTTGCAGAGGGAGGAGATAATTAGTTCATTCGAGGAGAAACGCAGTACTCTCTGGTCGTGGCTAGACGGATTCGGATACCAGGGTCAGAAGATTCCTGTTGCGGGCACAAAAACTGGCAAGAAGATGGAGTGGTAAAGTTGAACTTGTCGAGAAACATTATACTACTACTAGGATTTACGAGTTTGAATCGAAGGCACGAATGTTTGTTCCAAATATTACTATTGGTTACCACTCACTCGTGCAGTCCCACATTTCGTGCAGTCACGCAAATGTCACGGAAAGTCACGGAATAGTCACACTGTCCGATTTCGCAGTCCGCTCGACACGCTGTGGATTAGATATTAGGAAGATATATACTATTGGTTACCACTCACTCGTGCAGTCCCACATTTCGTGCAGTCACGCAAATGTCACGGGAAGTCACGGAATAGTCACACTGTCCGATTTCGCAGTCCGCTCGACACGCTGTGGATTAGATATTAGGAAGATATATACGAGTGTACCAGTGGCTAGTATGTAGTAATCTAATTGAATATGTATTGCGAGTTGCCGGAGTAATGAAAAGGGAGACTATTAGGATGCCCAGACAGCAATGGCTGTGATGATGTAGATATGACAGGAGCGGTTGTTGAGAGTACAGCGGGGCCAACATGATGTAGGTGGTTCGGATAAGGAATGGGGAGAGATCCTTGCATTTGCGGAAAAAATGGTGGCTGCGGGTGGAACATATTGTTGGCTGCCGTGGGGAGAGGAGTACTTGCTGAAGGTGTTGAGTTTTCATTCGAAGTTGGGTTGGCAACGGCAACGGCAACGGCAACAGGCCTGCCAGTGCGTCGTTTTGAACCATATAGCGCCGAAAATCGAGGATTATCGCCAGTATTTGAGCACGGAGTTTTCGAGGATGTAGAGGGGTTGCTGAATCCGAGTTATGGTGGCACCAGTCCACCAGTACTTTTTCTTGGGATTCATTGAGGAATGAGCGTCGAGTACGGTGTTTGCCTACCGCACGATCTCGCATAGTCTGTGGGGGTACCTGAAGGAAAATTGAGTTGCGATAAAATTATTGAGGGAGTGCTTACATTGTGAGCTATGGCAGCACTGCGAAAACTGCCATGAACACCAGTCAAGGTATCCTGGATGGCGGCTTGAATGCGAGCCTCTTTGGTGGGATCTCGGGGACCTTTTCGCTTCCCACCGACTCGAGTGCGCGCCATCCGTGCGGCAAGTAGACGCGTCCAGACGCGTTGCCACCAACGCGTCTGAGTTGAAACTCCGCTACGGCATCGGACGGCAGGTGACAATGGAAGTGACAAAAGCCTTTGTCACAAGCAAACATTTATCTCTCTTGTTTCTTGTCCGAATGCATCCGTCTAAGCTCGTAAGATGTTCTTGTGTATTATTATTTCAAATGGACATAGTAGCTTGAAGATTTGTAGTAGGAAAAGTGTGGTTTTGGAGGATGCACGAAATGTGGTACTGCACGAGTGAGTGGTAACCAATAGTAGTTGAAACGTGTTGGCTTTGTCTTGATCATACTATATTGCCTGGACTGCGTAGTCAGCCAATCAGGTTCGTTTACTCTGTCTTCTGAGATTAGTAATACAACATCAAGTCAATATCAAGTTGCAGGATTCGTCGTAAACTGTATCATTCAAACCACCATGTCGAAACATCACCCCGGTGCGTCTCCTCTCTTGGTATGCTAAAACGGAGGTTTGAACAAATTATATAGATTTGATTATGTGCAGGCGCCAGCCTGGCATTGGTGAGTACACCATCAACCAATCCGGCGGTGAAGTTGCTAATATTATGAATCTTCCAGCTATTGGCAGATTGTGTGAGAAGTGTGATGGTAAATGGTGCGCCAAGCGATGCTATCTTTCGTGCCATCAACTAATATGGGGGCATTTAGTCCCGTCTGTGATTCATATGTCCGACCTGAAACGCTCGTCCGGATATGCGACGAGTGTAATTTTGGTACATATGGTGGAAGATGTATCATCTGTGGATCACCAGGTGTGTTACACTTCGCACACTCTTAGACCATGGACAAAACGCGCTTCCGTAGGTATATCCGATGCATACTACTGTGCAGAGTGCACGCGGTTAGAGAAGGACAGAGACGGATGTCCGAAGATCGTAAACTTGGGTGCCAGTAGGACAGATTTATTCTACGAGAGGCGTCGGTTAGGTGAGCATTACATGGTTGAAGCGCGTCCTATCGGCTGTTAACATAATCCTCGTCCCATCCAGGCTTTAAGAAGAGTTAGTCTTAATACACGGACTGCACTCTTCGTGCGACCTTGTCCCCATATAGCTCTGAAGTAGGAGTAGGGAGCACCAGCTTTAGCGCTCCAAGATGCATGTATTACATTACATGAAGATGCGGTCCAAGGTATGAAATTGTTTGGCTACACCGTGTGTAGAACATCAGGGATATATTGGCATACATCTAGCAGTACACCGGGAAGGTTATGGTTGGCGGGCTGTCGTCGGGGTTTCCTAGAATTGCGAATCGCCAACATCACCAGGTCATTGAATCATCTGTAAAAGCAGCAGGATTAAACATACCGGAAGTAAACCATGTCGACCTTTGTCACGTGTTAGTAGATGGGCAAGGCAGGACACGGAAAACGTACAGGAGCCTTGAATACGACAAATATGTGGGTCTCGTCGTGAGTGTCAAGAGACTCGCATTCTCCACAGAGGTCTTTCGCGCAATAGGCGCATCGGTACCATGCTCCTTGAATGCGCTCCATACAGCGATCGCAGAGCGCCGTAGAGTGAACTAAATGGTAGAGATGCTTCGATGTGAGTGAGCAAGATCACCAGCATGACCGACTAACCTTGTGGATCTGCGTTGGATGTGAGGCCACCAACATGACCTGCTGGAACTTTGTACCTACCAGCTTAATGTTACTGAAATCACACCAAACGACGGCTGCAACCTTCATCCAACTTCGTCCTATCCGAGTCACCTATTCACCTACACAATGGTAAGGCCTTATCTTATTCCTACATCATTCACCTCAAGTCTGCCCAGTCTGCCCATCCCGCATGGGCGGCCTCTGCGTCGTCGTCGGCATCGCTAGGTATGCAAAACCGGTGCCCTCACTCGTTGCTGGTGTTGGGCCGCGGCCCACTCAGTCTATACCTGATATCCAAAAATGCTCAACTTTCAAGTTTCCAATTCCGTGACCAAATTTTCGGTGAAAGACGCCATAGTATTCAATAACAGCAGGTGACCTGCCTAAGAAGCCTTGCTTCCTGAAAGATCAGTAAGATTCTGTCAGGAACGGTTAAGTATTTAGCTCGTTTTGAATCACCCCTTTGAGTTCAGAACTGTGGGTTCGTGAACAAAATTTACATTTGCTGCCCCTTTGGATCTGCGGTGACAAAAACCTGTATAAAGTTACTAGCACATACAATCATTATCAAGTACTCTGAGAGTCATCATACTATTCGACGTGTCCAGTAGCCTGAATCTTTACTTTTGTGACCAGTTCAGTCGTGAACCGCATCTTAGAACCGCTAGCCCGAGCGAACTTCTTCCCCCCCTCTGCAATGTCGTAAGCTTCATCGTGGTCGTTTAGAAGGAGCACTTGTACAAGTTCATTACTCTCAACGCCGTCATCTTCAAACCCCGCAAGGCTTTCCAGTCCTCCCCCAGAAGATGCCATAATGAGATGGACTGGGTTCGATAAATCAAATAGAGGACCCGAGTGAGTACGTCCCTGAATCAGACTGTACCCCGCGGCCGAAACAGTGATGACCCAGATCACAGTGAAAAGTCCAAGGAGATAGATGAATGTGAGGCGTCCGCTCTCCCAGCCGTAGGTCGTCACGAACATGGTTCCATTCAGGGATCTGAAAGCACTCTCGTCCGAGTACAAGTCCAGCATCGTGGTGTTCGCACCTTCTGCAGAGTAGGCAGAACGAAGGTACTACAGCACGGCATCCCCCGTTGAAAAGGATAGGTAAGATGTGGTGATTCACTCACTGTGGCAGAAAACTCTACGACGCCGCGGAAGTATTCTTCCTGTTGAACCCGTAAGAAAGGTTGGTCTACCCTGACTAGACATAGCAAAAGTTACTGACCAGTGTGTCATGCATCGTGCCTATTCCGTCAAATTGCAGCAGCTCCGCTAAAGGATTGTTAGAAAGCTGGCTGGACCAAGTCACCATGTCCAATATGAACATCGTGACATTGGTGCTGCTGTTCTGAAATGGCTGGATGTTCTGAGGCTGATCGATAGAGATGTTTCCATTGCTGTATGCCACATCGAATGAGGCCACGTATGGGGAAACCTTGCAGATTGTTGTGTTCAAGTCGCTATATTCTCCTTTGCCCTGCAAGAAGACGTCTGATGTAGAAGTTAGGATCAACGTCGATGCTGCCCAAGTTGTGGTCACTTGCCAAAGGAGACGTTCGCGAATCCCGGATAGGGACAAACAACGATCGCGAGAAAGCCATCAGGACCGCCTGCCATCGTCTGAGTCGCCCAGGAGCCGTGACCGCCTGACAAGCAAGCATCAGGCTGCGTCGATACGGGGTATGCCGAGCAGACCTACTGCCGAGAGGACAATCTGCTGTCCCATTCCAAACCGTAATCTCATCGTCAATAGTACGATTATCAATCCTCAGCCGGTACTCGGAATCATTTTGGTCGAGTGGGCCGCACGTAACGTTCGCTGAAAGACCCTGTTGTGTCACGTTATAACTTCTAGAAATTCCGGAATATTTGTCATTGGCAATCGATGAATTGATCTGAGCGACTTTTCCGCCGTAGTACTGAAGACCAAGACTACTAGTGGTCAATGACGTGCCTGCAAATTCTTCGACCGCTGGAACAATGCCACCTGAAAACATAATTAGTTACTGATGCACGTTCCCATCGCATCAGAGCGCACCAGTAGATTTGCTGTATGCGACACCATTGAAGGCAAAGACGCTGTCATTTCCGCCTACAACGACTGAAAATGTGGCTGACATCCCGCTCATGGACACCATAATATCGCTGATGTAATACGTGGTCGTCCTTGCTATGATGGATTTATCAAGGCTGGCTAAGCAATGACGATGTACAGCACTTACATTGGTTGCCATTCATGTCAAAACCTAGTTGCGCATCGAAGGCGGGGCTTGCGAGGTCCAGATCTTTGCCCTGGATTGGCACGGGCCACGAAAGGCGTGTCGGCAACAGCAATGTCGTCCAACTGTGACGGTCGTCAGTTAGCTGCGACGCTGATAAAAAAAATCAAACCTTGAATTAAGGAGAGCGATCAAACCAACGATGACCAACGTAACAAGAGATAGTCTGCGGTGGTTCCATTGAAGAAGCGGTGCAGGTCTAGCGAGAGCTATCGCGGTGTGGAGTTCGATTAGTGATATTGGCCGGCGAGTGCCAGTGATATAATGGCGAAGTGCATGCTTGACAGCGATTGAGAAAAGACTGCAATGTCGATCATGATGTACTTAGATATCAGCGAAATCACTACATGCACCAGCTATCTAAACTTACGCTGTGGTGGTTACCGATAGAATTGTAGAAATCACGGTGGATATAAGGGTGAGTTCGGTGGGATATTTCGTGATGAGGTCGGCGATGTGGTCACTGAGAATGACATATTTTTTAAGCCATAATTGAATGTTGAAAGCCCAGCAAAGAGCGAATATGAGAGTCGAGGTGAAGATTGTAAACACTAACAGAAAGTTCTGCCAGTTCATTGATTTGTAGGTGGATTTGGAAGCTTAAGTCAATTTCCAGTATTTATAGGGGATGAGTGGGACGGACCAGTAAAACGTACGGGATGCGATGTTGAACCTGACCCGTACCGTTCTGGCATCTCAATCACAGCAATCTTCACTCCTGTGCAAAGCGCATACACATTGACTTCTTGAGCGGTCATTTGCTGCTGACACTCACGGCTAAATCCGACAAGGGGCACCGATCAAGATCACACCCATGCCTATAACCTAACATCAGTCTATGGTCGCAACGTATCAAAACACGACTTGCCTTACGGGAAATACACATCAAACAGTCCGCAGTGGAAGAATGAGTCGGAAAAGGGCGCAGGAGCTTGTCGGCGCTACACGGGCGGATCTCATACTTACTCTTGAGCAGATTATAACGTTCGTCGAGAATATCGAGATATTAGGATGACCGGATGAGCCAATTATCTCCGTCCAGCAAAACCTTTCTTCCGAAGGAAAAATACGCAGATCTCCTTTATGGTGCAGCGCTTTCCTCGAGCGTCGCGATCGTAACTCGGAGGTACAATACTGATCCCGAGACACGCCCTCACAGGAAGGCTCGAATTTCTTTCCAGGCCTGGCACTGGTGCATCAGTACAGTGCGTCGTATGATATCTCCCCCCCAGCTCCGGTGAAACCATTTCATGATTGGCATGAGGCTCCCGGGCATATGGGCATATGGACCTGAACGTAGGCTTAGAAGTCACCAGCGAGAATATGCTCACCGAGAACACATCCAGGTGACCGACAGAAATGCCCAAAAGATGGCACTAAAAGTTCGCTGACAGGAGAGTGAGATTACTGGTGGAGTCCGAGGACATCGTTAGCGAGGTCTGATCCAAGCGCTGGGCTCACGAACCATGTAGCCTTATCGCCATCAGAAGAACCAGATGTGATGCGAGTGTGGCGAGTGCCGAACTTACAGGCCGCATCAGTGAACCGATGAGTCCATGAAATTGTAGGCATGATTGTCATAATCAAGCGTAATATTGCCACAGCACTGCAACGACATAGATTCCCCAGTATAATTTCTGCCTGATGAAATGGACATGGATTATCTCCAAATATAGGATCACAGCAGGCTGGAGTTTGTCCCGAGGCTGTGGAGTAGCCTACACGACTACAGTTGCAAAGAGATAGCAGCACCTGTCTTAACCTTGTCCCGTTTGCCGAGTACTTGATCCAGGAACGGTGACCAACCCGTTTATGAGGCAAGCCGTCGATCCCAGTGAACAACGACCAGATTTAGGTAGATATGTACACAACATCAGATTTATCGACCTGTTTCGAGGCCTTTCGCCAAACTGTGACTTTTCGAGACGTAAGAAGAGAAATTGGCGTTGCAAACTAAAACGTCAGCCAAGAATCCAACTTTCGAGCCAGAAAATCTACTGCTTCACGCCAACTTCAAAGTTCACACACGCCAATTGATTATTGAATCGTTGTCAAACGTCTAACTTTCCAAGTTGTTGCCGCAATACACATCGACCAATCTGTAGATATCCAAGCAGCCGTGGCCAAGGCCCATCAAGTGGTGGTCCATAGTGTCCGTGCGCATGCCCTATCGGCACCGACGACATACAACACAACCAGGAGTCCGATCTTGTCTTACTGAGCTCTAGGATCTTTCTTTCAAATACCCGGACATTGATACGTCCTTAAAGGATATGGAAGATACCGCGTATGATGTCTACAATTCCATTGTGAGGTCTGCAAAGCCTGTTGCGGATGAAAAGGCTATTTAGTATCTGGGGCATTAAGAGGTGAGTGCACGTGCTGCTAGAATTTAGTGATAGGTGTCTCCAGGTCACTCGAAATCGGATACGCAGCGTTGGAGCTGGCGCATATAGCATGTAAAATGAAGAAAAAAAAGGCGCCTAAGTGGAGCCTGGACATGAATCGGGGATGAAGCGGCTGTCGAGGGTCTTGTCGTACCGACGTGCTGCACCGTCCTGACGGGGGATGTCAACCTGATGAGGATACACCACTCTCACAAGGCTGTAGTCGTGCGCATATGCGAGCCTCGGGATAACATCCGCGTCTGCAGCTTCGGCAGCAGTAAAGGACACTGGTGAGTGCTGTTACAGCGGCGTACTAAGCTTAGGCATTGACTGGGTCCCTTGATGACCATCGCATCATTGACACCTTCGTACTCGCACCGAAGAAGGTAAATTTATTTGCACATGAAACTGATGTACTGGTAACCGTAGTACTATTGTTCACTGCCGCAAATGATGTGCAGTCTATGTTGACCATCCAAAAGTTCGTCGTGACACCTGTACTCTGACTGGGTGGGCATATGGCTAATCATATCGTGGCATATGTCAGTGCTGGGGGAGGACTGGAAGTCTTCATCATCTTCGTTGGCAGGGGTCTCCTTGTACAGGCACTGGTTTGAAGCGGTGTGGGTGGTACAGCACGCAATCGAGTGAGCAACAGAATAGAAGAACTGACAATCGCAACACCGTTAGTTGAAAGAGGTTTTCAAAAGTGGACACAGCAAGACGCTGTGAAGGTGTTGTTATGCCAGGTACAAGTCAACAATCAGTTGACATACTTGCAGTGCGAGCCTGCACCGGTGATAGCCTCACTTGTTCAAGTCGTCGTAACATTCTAAAATAGCAAATCTCAAAATCTCATGTCTATCAACTAAAATCATCCGGGGCTGGACGCAATCCCATCGATATCATGTCACGGCTTCAATATCATAAAGTACTGGGACGAGGATTCTAAAAAGAGCTCATGGGGATGGATGTGTTGCCTTAGGCTGTACTTTCCTGCGACAGAAGAATACACAGCTTAAACGAGCCTTGAAGCTTGAAGCTTGAAGTACGCAACAACTTGCAAAATTCTTCAGGCTGACCACGCTGGGCTGTGGCATCAAGCAATCCAAGAATCCGGTCAGAATGCTCGTGACTAGAGGCTACACTCGCAAAGGATCTGCCTGCTGACAAGGGGTCCGAAATAGAAGCCTCCGTTGACGAGCCACCTACGAAAAAGTTGAGAGCACAAAGCACTCTTAGTGACTAATGTTGGTGATTTACGAGAGACGGGGAAGAGGGTAAAGGAGGAGGCACGCCAACTCAAAGTTAACCATGTTATCATGCGTCTAATGAGTTAATCATTGGGGCTGCTCAATGCCAGGCTCATATCATCTCACGTCCGTCACTATGTTTGCAGATAAACACATCCCTCACGCTATGTCCGTGAAATGCAAATCGAGACTTTGCGTACGATCAACAACCTTACTCTCATATTCGATGGCAATACCACACGAAAACTGCATTCTATCTACGTGATCCTTGCGACAACTCCTTTACGTGAAATTTACTTTCTCGGTGCACACGGAGAATCTGACGAGCGTCACACTACACAATGGGTGAATGGGTTGCGACACAAACTCGAAGGTTTTTGGCACAACGAATGGCCCTTCAATCAACTCGTCAAAGACGGTAACTCATTCGCGTGGTGGGAATCTCTGCAGGACCATCCGCATGGCCATGTCCTCGCAGTGAGTCTCTCATTCTAGAGCATCTATATTTGATATTAAGCACAATCATACCCGTAGCACCTTTCGATTAAGATTTTTTCAGTTCTCGTTAACTCCATGCCTGACGAGCGCACAGACACCGCTATCAATGGTTCAATTTACCAATACGAGGCAGCCAGAATGCACAGACACTCGTTGATATGATTCAAATTGGACAATGGTGCGGAAAACATCAGGTATGTGTGTCAGATAACTTGAACTATCGAAGTACTGAAACGGATATGTCAGAAAAAGGATTACGTGCCGTGACTGCCGTCGAAGTATCGTCCAGTTGTCAATTTTCGCGTAATCGAGAAGAGTGTGCTATGAGCAGTCCAATCCGTCGGCGTGGATGACGACCCAACGCCAGATGTTGACGCGGACTCGGATGAAGAAGAAGAAGCTGATGATGAGCCACTGGAATCGGCGATGGGTGAAGGGCAGCCTGCTCAAGCAGTTGACTTCGAGATTGACCCCGATATCGATATCAGCTCGAAGGCACTGACGTACTTATACGATTTCTATTGACCCAGTCATTGACCTATCAGCGGGACCTTCGCCGCCCCCTGCCATGACGACTGGGACCTCCAATACAGTCCCGGATTGGACTGGTAGCTTTTAGGCTCGCGCACATCTTTTTTAGCAATTGTTAACCGCGTTTTTCTCATTAACTGTCAATAACACGCGTTAACTTTGGCCCCGGAGTGCCTTATGTTACTAATAAATGTTACAAATCAATGGTGAATTGTTCACCGAGCCTAGCGCGGTTAGAAAAGGACAGACGGATGTCCGAAGATCGTGAACTTGGGTGCCAGTAGGACAGATTTATTCTATGAGAGGCGCCGATTAGGTGAGCATTACATGGTTGAAGAGTGTCCTATCGGCTGTTAACATAATCCTCGTCCCATCCAGGCTTTAAGAAGAGTTAGTCACGGACTGCACTCTTCGTTGAAGTAGGAGTAGGGAGCACCAGTTTTAGCGCTCCAAGATGCCTGTATTACATTACATGAAGATGCGGTCCAAGGTATGAAATTGTTTGGCTACACCGTGTGTAGAACATCAGGGATATATTGGCATACATCTAGCAGTACACCGGGAAGGTTATGATTGGCGGGCTGTCGTTTGGGTTCTCTAGATTTGCGAATCGCCTACATCACCAGGTCATTGACATCCATAAAAGCAGCAGGATTAAACATACCGGAAGTAAACCATGTCGACCTTTGTCACGTGTTAGTAGATGAGCAAGGCAGGACACGGAAAACGTACAGGAGCCTTGAATACGACAAATATGTGGGTCTCGTCGTGAGTGTCAAGAGACTCGCATTCTCCACAGAGGTCTTTCGCGCAATAGGCGCATCGGTACCATGCTCCTTGAATGCGCTCCATACAGCGATCGCAGAGCGCCGTGGAGTGAACTAAATGATAGAGATACTCTGCGAAGCTTCGATGTGAGTGGGCAATATCACTGGCATGGCCGACTAACCTTGTGGATCTGCGTTGGGTGCGAGGCCACCAACAGGACCTGCTGGAACTTTGTACCTACCAGCAATGTTATTGAAATCACCTAATGCGTAGTTACAGTTCACAGCTCACAGTTTCGGAAGGAATGCCGATGGCGACTCGAGCGGTGCATGGACAGGTCTCGGTATTTTGAAAAACGAGTGCATTGGGTCATGGATGGCATATGAACTCTGCTCGCATGATTGGCACTTGAAAGATCGGACGGATGAGAAGAGCGTAAGTGTAATTGCGGTGTACGTACCAAGCTATACGCAGTGGGAGAAGATGGGCATGTAGCACATTGATATCGTATGCCAACGATTGTCTAGAAAAATATCAGCATTCACGGAAATCACGATTGAGGCTACCAAACCTGGTTGCAGCCCTTGCAGGACGAATGGTGAATCAGCGACTCTCCGTTGCGCTCACTTCGGGCGTGTCTCGAGCCAACAACCGTCTGAGCATATGAAGAGTATACAGAGCCTGGTTGTGAGCGGGTTGCGGTCATAACGTGTGCTGCGTCTCTGCCTGTCCATAAATGGATGGCACGGCGGCTGGCTGTTTGCACTTCTGTTGTTTCAAGTGGATAGGGAATCTCGAACAAACGTAAGTAAAATTCGGTCGAGCCTCGGAAGGGTAAGAAAGTACCTTAATCATGATATGCGAGGATATGTGTCCCCCGTCGGAGGAGTCTAAGTTGCCTGGAAGTCCCGCAGACTCGCAGTTGGAGCAAATGTCGACAGAGTCGCAGATCGCACAGTGGAATCGGGCGCCAAGGATATCTTGTAAACAACTAGAACCTATCAGGTACTGTGATCATGTCACCATAGGCCACCTACTGTGCACACTTGACGCCAGGATGTTTCATGGCTACAGACATAACGGTGTGAGAAGACAGTGAACTGTGAATGAAAACACTCACATCGTTCCTCATTGTTGTCATTTGATATTATCATTGGCAGATCGCGTGAATATTCTGGTTCACTTCTAGACCTTACAGGCTTCTCCGCGACTACCAGGAATGCATGTGATGGGTGTATGTCGTGGACTTGGCTGCCCAGACAGGTATTAGCTCGATCAATGTCGCACAAATGTCACTCACCCGTAACACGCTCGACATAAATTGAATTTTTGACACGAAGCACATTTATACCGCTGGTTCACGATCGTTGAATTGCATGTCGAACATTTACAGACGTGCATATCATCTTGCTCTGTAAACGGTAAAGGTAGGATGTCGCACCAAAGTTGCATATTTCATAGAATGCTTACCCACGTCCTCCCATCCATGATGGCCCCATACCTTTTCAAAATACGCATGTCTCAGCTGACCTTTCTGTCTGGGAGCAGAACGACTCCAGGAAGATAAATCATCTGCCGGAGATGTCGATTCTGTGCCCGATCCATTCCGCCGCTCTGTGCTTGCACGGAGCGCATGTATCACGCCAGCCGATTCGATACATCCCGAGCACAATTCGAAGCCCACAGCAGACGACTCAGACCCGTGTCTAAAGCCCGATTGTGTACTATACAACGTCGGGCTTGATGAAGAGGAACCAGGTAAGAAAGGGAGTGGTTTATTATGTATGTGTTCACTGCGCGTCTGTGGCGACCCACTTAACGTGACAGCGTCAAAGAACGTAGATGGCGAAGGTGAAGACGATAAAGGTGTGCGACGAGTAAGGGGGGGATATGAATGGATCGGGTCCAGGTCCCTGGCCTTTCCTTTGCCTAGATTAGAGTCTGAGCCGTTGCGAAGCACGACGCTTGCCAGAGGTTCCTTCTCGCCACACACGGCACAGACATACCGGATGCCATCTAGCATGACTCCACAGTCTGAACAAGTAGTGAGCAAGCCCGGAGGAGGTCCTGCGGGTGCAACAAACTGGAGTACCTCTGGTGGAATGTCGTGAGCGATGGTGTAGGGAAACGGGTCAGAATCAGAGTAGTGTGGGGAAGAGGGCTTGTGTGAATCAGGGGTATCCATGGAACGATCATTGTCCGCTAGCTTCTGCTGCGAAGCGATCCATATAAGCTGCATACTGTTTGGCCGCGGGGGCGATCCACCAATGGGATCGGCGTCATACTTGACACTCAGATTGTCCTCGTAGCCCGAATCATGCGTCGTAGAACTCGCTCCAGTATAAGAGTAGTAGTACTTTCCGCGGGGATCTCGTTCCAGCGCAAGATCCCCTTCCATGTTGTTAGATGGAATCCGTTCATCGGAATATGTTAATGATATTGACCTGGAATCGGATTCCGAGGGTTCAGGGGTCGCCCCGAGCATGGCTCTAATCGTGCGCGCATTCTGATCGCGCAACCACGCTGCCCCTCTGTCTTGAGCAGAACGCGCCAATGCTATGTCAACTGATGTAGGGGAGTACGACCGATGCGAAGGGGACCCGTCAGACGCCGAGGCGTCAGCGCGCTCCTGGAGCTTGAGTCGCTCAAATACAGCTACAGGGTCTTCCGGGGAGCGTTCTTCAGCAGAGAACTGGTAATGGTCCGCAAATGGACCCTCATCGTGCATTGTCTGATCTTCCACCGTTTGGGATTGCGAGTGACCAGTAACACTGCTCTCGGGTATAGAAGATGAGTCTCCGCTTTCAATCCAGTTATTCAAATGCGGTGTTACAGAGTGCACCGTTGATCCACGTGGGAGGCGCCGGTTCGTATCTCTCGAGCTCACCGTCACTGAATCATCGTCAACTTCTCCTCCTCCTCCAACAATGGACCAGCTTAATTCGCCTTCGCTCCTGTTGCGGCCTTTGTATTCTTCCATACTGGCGAGACTCGATGTATCGCTTAAGCTCGGGCCATCGTAATCAACGGTAATGTGAACGCGTAGTGTTATTCGTCTACTTCCGAAGCTGCGGCCAGAAAGAATAGATGCTGCAGAGGAGAGTGGAGGATCGTCAGACCCAGCCTGAAAATACTGAATGGCTTCTGTGAGATCGGATTCTGTGGTAATGTCGGTGATTTCGCCGTCATCGTCCTTGTATGCAATCACATATGAAGTCGCGTAAAGTGAGAAACATTGCTCGACCTAAGCAACAGCAAATTCAGGAAGATAATGTCAATGATAAACCATGTAATCTTGTACCAGACCAAAGAAACGCACCCTGCTCCTGAGCAGCTCGTATGAACAGTTCCTTGCGGAAGCAAAGCTTATCCGCTTGTTCCATCTGTCGAAGGCGCACTTGACGACCAGGGGCCTGTCGGGTCTGGTGTGCATTGTTCTTGCAGGTTATGCTACCCTCGGCTTAAGAGGACATATGTGACCTTCCAGAGTTCCGCAGCCAAGACCAGTGCTCATCCCGCGATGACTAAATTCGGTTATTTGCACCGCACTGAAGACTCTCCTGAAAGGGAAATCCCCTATCCACTTCATCAGAAGTATCTTGGATTCTGGTGATCGTCGCCGTCACTGCACGTGGGATGCCTGCCTTCCACACCTTTCTCAGTCCTTTGAAATTATGTAGGGTTAATACACAAGGTTATGCTAGATGTTCTACGCGACGGCGACGGCATGCAGCCCTATAACTGGCAGCAATCCAAAAGTAAGCAACTCCATGTACTGATCACTGCATTGAAGCCACCTCTACCTAAATTTCTTATCGAGAACTTGGGTGCGCAGAGACATAACATTGCAAGTCAGTTTTCTCAGTCGACGATTTGCATTTCATGAGGCAATGTGTAAGTTAGCTACTGCATGCGTAGCTAGAGGCGATGCGAGTGCGAAGGGGGTAGATAGACCGCTGAAGGAATGATAATGGATAGAGTTAGCTTCGAAGGAGGGACGACAGATACGAGAGCGATAGTGAATTGATAAAAGAGAGTGAGAAAATGATAAGAGAGGTAAAGGCGGTAGCTGAAGGGAGTGGCGTCGTATTTGACAGAGTAATGACAAACGAGTTGTTGTCAGGTTGAAAACGTTGGCGGTACGAATGGAAGAGCGGTGATGAAAGTAAGGGTTTAACGAGTGGCATGAATTTAAATGGTAGGTATTAATGAAGGGGTCGGGTATAGGAGTATCGGTATGTTCCGGCGGTAAACGATTGGTAATCCTTACAAATGTGTACTACCCTCGTGTCCCGTATTCCGAGACCATATGTCCTTCGTCCCATGGGCACATGTAAGGCCGCTACCCATAAGTACCAGAGTAAGTACATAGTCGAAGCAAACGAAGTCGGCGATTGCCAAGTCGGAATTCGGATTCGGAAATGATGACAGCTATTATTGACGTAATTAAAGGCCAGTGATCATCATCAGCAGGGAAGCAACGTATTCATCACAGGGACACGGAACTGGCTTTTAACCTGCGTAGTCGACTGCATCTGCACTGAATTTCTAGTTCACATGGGCATTTGTGAGTCTCCTGGTTAATATTCTTATTCACCTCTTGATGCAGGACGTACAGTCATAATGCATGGACTTTTGAGGATCCCATCGTTGTAATTAGACGCATAATGCATAAATAATTTACTGTCACACTTTTGGCGGAGGTCACACATGTCACAAGCGTGTGAAAATATTATGTGTTGCATAATGCATAGACTTCCTCGGACAGTACGCATTATGAGCATTTCAACTGGATACTCAAAGTTATGATATACTGACTCGGACTTCCTACGGCCGAAGTCGCTTCAAGATGCTCCCCCCCTCGACATATTATGTACAAAGGTCAGGGTATGTAGTCTTATTCGTGTGCCTGGTGCATAGCAAGTTGATAACAGAACGTACATCTTGTATGGTCGGATGACCGCGTTGACTTGGACGGTCGACTTTCCTATTACTTGACCTCCAACTGATCGGGTACCCGACATTCCGTGGCTGTATTATTGCAATCCCAAATATAACCCTCGATAACTTAAGCAGGTCGTTTACCTTCGAAGGCTTCCTCGATCACTGGTTATCTGACAGCTAGACTTAATCAGTGGGCTGGTGAGTTTTTGGTGCAGCCATGGTGCTGATTGCGGCGCTTTTACACTGCTTTACATTACTTTATACTGTCATGTGCAGGACTTCTTCTCGGCACATCCATATGTAATGGCCAGACCAAGCAATACTTATCTGTGGCTCACCGGTTCTCCGACGATTTCCATCTAGGATGTTCTGATCATCGGCATTGGTAAAACCATGTACGTTTTCTGGCGCCCGCTTTATCCATGAACCGTCTATAAAATCTGTCACACAATATTCAACTCCCACATCGCATGACCTTTTACGCTCATGGCAGAAAATCAGACTACGAAAATTTCACCTACGGAGGATCGGAATGTGGGATTCCATATTGATACCCAGACGAACTCCCCCTGTTCAGAATTGTCAAATGAGCCCATTAAGCTTGACATAGAACATGAAGTGGTTGAGGATGATCCTCGATTATGGTCAAACGCGAAGAAGGTGCGTCCTTCCATCTTAATGTGTAACAGGAGTTTACCGAACACACATACAGAACGCTATATTGTGTATTATATCTGGAGCGTCGATGATTGCGGGTTTGACGACGAATATACAAAACCGTAGGTTGTGTCCTTGATGCTATTGTAACCAGTATCATTTGAACAGCCGGGGGACAGCCGCTAATGCTCAAATTGAGCAGCAGCTACACGCCAACAGCGAAGATATCAGCTTGAGTTTGTCTCTGTTCGTTCTCATTCAAGGCAATTTTCCTATCATTTGGAGTGCGATTAGCGAGATAAAGGGCCGCAAGGTTTGTATTTCTAGCCGCCTCGAGAGCGTCGTTTGTTAATATGACCGAGCTCAGCTCGTGTACCTTTTCTCCATCGCACTGTGTACACTTGGATCTGCAATCGTGGCCGTGTCGAGAACCATTGGATTGGTAATTGGCATGCGAATTGTGCAAGGCGCAGGGTAGGACCATTCTCCGATCTCATATCCGTGCTCTCCGTGCTCACTTGGAGTAGGTCAAGCGCAGTTTTCGCTATCGGAGCTGCCACTCTGGCAGACATATACGAGCCACATCAACGAGGTACAATGATGGGTATCTACTATTCTGCACCTCTCATCGGTCCCTCACTGGGGCCAATCTTTGGTGGTGCACTCACACAGGGCCTCGGCTGGCGGGCAGTTTTTTGGTTCTTAGTTATCTGGGGAGGCATAATCTTTTTGGCATTCTTTTTCTTATTCAAGGACACCTTCCGGAAGGAGAGGAGTATGACTTACCAGAACATATTGAAGAGGAAGCTGCGAGAGCAACAGTCGTCGGAAGCAAAGGATAAGTCGAGCAAGATTTCAGAGAAGGAATCAGAATTAGATGGAGAAAACCAGACGAGTTCGAAAGACATTGAAGCACAGCGGGCGGTTTTACCAGCATCAGCCATCAAAGAAGTGAAGCTGTCCATTACCGATGTTAACCCTTTCTCTCCATACCTATCAATCATCAGTCGCAAGAACAACCTAGCTATCTTGATAGCGTCAGGTGAGTGCTCTCAGTAATTCTTACTGGAAGCTATTTTAAACAACGTTTATCCCCTCTTGCGCTAGGTTTAACATTCGCTTTTGGCTTTAGTATTCCATATACATGCGCAAGAACATTGTCGATGTATTATAATTACGATGCTTTGAAGACTGGCCTTGTTTTACTTGCCTATGGTATTGGTGAGCGAATTACAAGCAACTGAGAGCACCTACCTGACACATCGATCCCAGGGACCGTAGCCGGTAGCATATTGGGCGGTCGTTGGTCCGATCGGACACTTGCTCGGCTAAAGGCCGCGAACGGAGGTATCAGCTTTCCAGAGGTGGGCCACTAGCTTCCTTCTCATGTAGTTGACGCGAATTCGTGCAGATGCGCCTCGAGAGTACGAAAGTCGCCATGGTGTGGTTACCTCTGTCCGTGATTGGATACGCCTGGGTGTGCCAAGAACGAGTCAACGTCGCCGCTGTGTGTGTGATGTTGTTCCTCGCTGGATTTTTATCCATGTACGTTCGTTTCGCTTTTACACTATTTTTTGCTCTCATCCACGATAGATGGGTTTACGCGAGCACGCTGGCATACATTGTCGATGCAAACATTGGTCGCTCATCGACGGCAGTAGCGACTAATAGTTCTTTCCGCGGTCTGTTTGCTTTTGTCGCCGCTGAGATTGCTGTTCCTTTACAAGTGAGTCGACACCATATCAGTTCGCAGAACGTCGGATCTGAGATTAGTTTAGGATACTATTGGCGACCGGGGTCTGTATACTCTCTGGGCAGGTCTACTCGTCGTCACTGAATGCTTGATTCTATTGGTGTTGTACAAAGGCAGGAAGTGGAGAGAAGCCAGTGTTGAGCAGCAGAAGCAGAAGCTGGATGCCAAGTAAGGTTGTACTTGCGATCGATCATGGAGGAGGGCCTCCATTAATCACCGTCCTCGCTGAGGCGTGGTTCAACTTCCTAGATTTCTGTCGATATGAACTTCTATTACAAGTAAATGGATGAACAAGAAAGATTGTGTGCATATACAATGACTTATAATGCCGAAAAGTACTAGGACAAATGGAAACTGCCAACTCCTTCTTTCATCGCGATGCGTAGTTTCTCTCGCATGACCACCTTTGAACTATACTCCGGTAGCTTCAAGTAATTGACACAAGTCATGACACTCGGCAGGTAATCATCTGCTATAAGCGGTGGCTCATGTGGCTTGCGGACGACAGTTAGTGGAGGGTTGAGACCACGGAACCCTGTGAGCACCCAGGTCAGCGAGTCTTAAGATGAACTGCAAGGAAACATACCTCCGATAGGAAGTTTCGGACTTCCTGTAATAAATTGCAGGAAATCACGACGAGCGCATGCATCGAATTCCGACATGATCCCTATCAGCTCGCGAATTGCACGACTCTCGCTGTGGAAGCCATGGTCGGCCTTGATAGCTTCATTCAACGCTACACCGTGCTGTCAGTCACGTCGACATCAATGCGAGGAGTCACATACTCTCTGCTCCCCAATCTTCATCTGAGTTGCCAAATAGCATCACCAACTCGTCCGCTGAGAACGCCTGCAAATCAGAGATGGGGAACACCTTAGAGAAGCCCTCTCGGAACGCCCTAGCCTGTGGCTGAACGCCAGCACCAATAATTGCATCCAAGACCTCGTGAATGTATTCTTCTGCGTTCTCCGAAGTCACAGGGATGTTGCGTCCGCCAGGCTGAAATCATGCGTTACGATTTACTGGCATGTCGAAAAAAAGATGAAACTCACCCGAAGCTCAATGTCGTATCCGGGAACTGTGAAATCAAGCGCAAGCTCTTCGACATTGACAATATCCATCAATGCAACCTTACGGAAGAGCTAGATGCCAGGGATGTCAGAAAACAACCAGTCTTGAAGTGTAGAGGAGTGGAGATACCTTCTCACTCTGCCCTTTCATGGACGCGTAGCTCTGAAGTTTGGAGAGAGAGCTCGCAAGTTCGTTGTCCACAAGCTAGACAAAACATGTGAGTCCGGTGTCTTGTCTGCGTAAGACACTTCTTACCTTCAAGGACTCGATAGTCAAAGGCACTTCCTCCCCTAGCACGAGTTTTACGAAAACCTTATTAACTGAAAGATCGATAATGCGGGAGTCCAACATTGCCTTCGCCACATATTGGCCGACGACGCGGAGGATGTGGGTCCGCTTTCTACCATTAGACGTCAGATACACGATAACCACCTAGGCTAGGGACACTTACTGTCCCCCGTCATTGGCAATGTCATCAGGGCTGATGGGGGCAGGATAGAGTCCCGCAGGGTGATGTACATATATGCCAGGAGCAGCTGAGTCGGCATCTCGCCATATCTTGAGATCTCTCCTGGCAAATTCCTTCGAGACGAGGGAATAAAACTCAAGAGTAGGTCCAAGTCCAGTCCCAACCTCATCAAAGTACTCCACCTCCAAAATTGAAGACGAAGACCCATAGAGCTCGAAAACCTTGACCGCTGACTCCAAGATGTGTTTGCGGGAGATGCGAACCTTCTGCCGCTGCAGCCGTCCAAGGAAACCGATTCCCTCGTCTCGTCGCGAGCTGTCCTGGCTGCGGCCTTGCTGGCTTTGCCACTTCAGAATAAGGCGAGCATATCCGAAGGAAGTCGATTGAAGGTAGTTATACCTAGTCGCGAATGGGAAGAGGAAAGGGAAGTTTTGTGGCAAGTCAAGTGCCCAGTCAGGTAGGCATGAACTAAACAGGGTAAGTAACTGGACGGATATAAGCACGGATGGCTGAATTACCTGACCACGATCATCGGTTCTTCCAGCTGGCGAGTGAGTTTGGCAGTTAACTTGTTATTAATGAAGGTGGCCTCCGAGAGCGCGCGGCGATCTAACGGTCTCGCCGGCCGTTGCGCTTCGGCAGCGTTAAGCTTATGCAATACACGGAGCAAACGGAGAATCTTGGCATGGGGGGCGTCATCTGGGAGCGAAGAAAGGGTTGGACTAGGTGATCGTATTTTAGATGCCGAGGTGTCTGCACGTGCTGCCAAATTATCATCAGATTCAACGGCACCAATCAGGTTAATAACACCTACGTTCTTGACTCGGAGGAGGACCATTCACTTTCTTGAACTTGACTGTATAGATTCCTTGCCACATGGAGCTCGATGGCACAGGACCAAGCTTCTTACGGATTTCATGCTGATGAATGGCGCCATATATAGTCAAGTCAAGTGGCAGAAGGTGGTCGTCCATAGAAAACTCAAGGTGCCAGTCTGCCGGTTTGGCTTTTAGAGCTGCCGCATACGAAGTCTTGTTCGCATTGGATGGTCTAGATGATGAAATTAAAGGCGCTGTACTTGGCGTCGCAACTCGCGTTCCATCTGGAGTTTGAGCTTCCACTTTACTGCCATCTGAGGATGAGTTGGCATGAGAAGCCCCCTAAAGTCTTTATCGCGGCAGGCTTACCGTCAGCGATGGACAAGGTAACAGTCTTGTCTGCAGCAGAGTCAATATCATCTTCGTCTTCGAATACCTTCCAAGCAGTCAGCACTAATGTTATATGTTTGATCTAGAAAAATCACCTCGGCGTCCACCTCATCGTCGGTAAAGTCTGATATGAGTCCACCATCCTGAATGAGGGCTTCCATGCGTTGCGCTGTAGATTGAGGGGCAGCAGCAGATGATGAGGCGGTAGGGACTGAGGTAGGCGCTGACGTCGTGCTGCCCTCGCTCTTGTCAGTTGACGGTCCACCATTCTTAGCGCTGAGTCTTAAACTCCGGCGTCGACCAATCTCTGAGGAACCAGCGGCGGGTGTCTCAGGAACTGTTTTTGTAGCACTGCTAGACTCTACAGGCTTGCTTGCTTGCATTGGGGCCTCCGGAGGATTGCGCGAACCTACTGGGCCAAAGCCAGAAGCTGCCAAAGCCGCTAACATTCCAGACAGTCCTCCGGATGACATTAGACCCGTGATTCTGGGACGCAGGTAGTCATTCAAGGCTTGGAATGTTGCGATGGCATGAATGGAAACGACCATGTTCTGAAGGTTGCGAGGAATATCAGATTCATTATCGGCAACTAGACGAAGACGAAGTTGTCGCGCCAGCAGGGATGGCGAGCTTCGTTTAGAATCTATAAGATAGTGAGTTTAACATAAAAGGAAGGGTCAGCGTTGTGTTTACCATCTGTGCCTTGTGAAACAGTGACGACGTCAAAGTCTTCCATCCTCGTGAGACTCTCCTGCAGCTTCTTCACCAATACCGTAAGAGGTGACTGATTAACTCTCGGGATTCGGCTAAATGCATCGTACAATAACTCTTGGCGTCGTTTGTTGGTGACTGTCATAGAGTGAATTGAGATACCAGATAAGATGCAACAGGGGTTCGTACCTGAACTCCTGGTAGGGTCGGTGGCAAAGCGCAATAACCCGTCGACAGCTCCACTCTGCAGAAGCTCGAAGCTTGAGACAGAAGAGTGAGATGTGAAGTGATCTGCGATGTCTCTCAACGCAGATGACATGACCGACTCGCCCACATCTGGAGCCGCTAGTCTATCGACAAGACGGCGAAGTTCATCGAAGGCATTATCCTCGTCACCCTCTTCCTGTCCCAAGGAGTACTTGAAGCGAATGACTCGGGCCCGCAAAGTGATTGCATCCTCAGGTTCCAGGGAAAGCGAGTGAAGCTTCTTGTATCCCGGTATCGTAGAAGAAACATGGATAGGAATGTTCATAGGCTCCGCTACAATGGTGCCATCTGAATCCTTGGATTTTGCGGAAGTTAAAGTCCTTGTTGCAAGTGACTCGATCTCGTGGAATACTCCTTCACGGCGAAGGACAGGGCGGTATTCCGCAGGAAGCTTCTGTAGCAGAAGATCTACGAGCTGGAGTGCGCCGATTACCAGTGAAGGATGATCCTTAGAGGACAAAATCGACGAGGCAAAACTCGCCACAGGTACAAGCTATATCTCGAAATCAGAAGGGGCTATAAAACAGATGAAAAAGATACTTGCATTGAAAGCATCCTTGAGCGCATCCCCTTCAAGGAAACCTACCGCCTTTAATAGGCCTGTCAAAGTTTTAACCCGGACGGGGGTGATTACGCTAGCAGCATATACATCTATCAAGATGGGCACCATCAGCTGCATGAACCGTCCAACAACCTCCGGCTTGGAACGCAGAAGCTCAGTACGATCAGCTACTGCAGGCTCAGCAGCAGAGGGCAGAGGAGGAATGTCGTCAGGATCCTGCATTTGAAAGTCGTTCATGCTGGTATCCTGAAATGGTTCCGCTGCAGGTGTCGCTTGCGCTGATACGTCAGGGCTTGGCTGATATGATGTGAATGCAGCATGACGTGCAGCAGCGCGATCAGCCTTGGCTTTAGCCTTCACCATTCGTGTCAATGCCTTGTCAGTATACCCCTTGTGATCAAACACGCCATCTTCAAAAATCATGAGTAGGCAATCATTCTATTAGCAGTTTTCCAAGCGTACCTTTCGGAAGAGGAGGCATTAATTCAGACACCAGACTGAGGGCTTCTTCCACTTGCTCCTTGGATCGGTGAGCAAGATTCTCCATGACTGTCATATGAGTCACATCGCCAGCTAGCCCCTGGCCGCCTTGCTCGTCTCCACCACCGGACGCTGAGGGGAGAACCCCCGTCAAGATCTGGTAGAGTGTGTCAACGATGTCTGCCTGTAGCAGATTAAGGGTAATTTTTGGGCTTGCGCGGGCGGCTGTTGCCAGCGCCTTCAGAAGTAGAGTGAAGGTATTGGCAGCAATCAGGGGGGAACCTCCGGCTGGCATAAGAAGTAAATTGATCGCACGAATGGCGGTCTCATCCAGCAGGTTTTCTAGGTTCTCCGTCGCGGAGCGATGATAAGAGTCCACAACTCTGATGACGCAGAGGCACGCGAATTCAACCAGTCTCTGGTCAGAATAGCCAATGCAATTGCGAATAATGGGCCAAACACCAAGAATCATCTGGAAATGATCCGGCGAAATATTTCGGCAGCAGTTCGCAGCAGCTTGCAGGGCAGTTCTTTGCACAGCAATAGAGAAGAAGTCGAGATAGTTCAGCAGTGCCGCTAGACCATTTTCCCGCACGATAGAACTTGGGAACTCTTCGGATATTTTCTCGAGTGTCTAAAACATAAATTTAGGGGAGAAAGTGACATCAAAGCTGAGTGACTTACGCTCAGAGTCTGTTCTGCGAGATCGATGTAAGAGATTTCAATCAGCTTGCTGCAAAGGACCGGTATTGCACCGTGATACACAACGGAGTGGGCAACACCAGGCAGAGCTTCCATCAGATTTGCCAGGCAACGACATGCCAGCATCTGCGCTTCGAGATTTTCATCGCCCTGGTACGTTCCGCCCCCGCTCAGGGCCAACGCAGCGGCAAGAGCCGCATCTTCGTCATGTTCATCGCCATCATCACCGCCATCGTCATCTTCGTCTTCATCAACGCCGCGCCCACCAAGGATCTTCACGAGTTCCCTTACAAACTGTTCCACTTGGAACGAGCCTGCTAAAGTGTCTTCTGTGCTTATGCTGAGGAGCTCACTGAGCTCCTGCAATGTCACCAAGCGAGTGGTTGGGCTCGCGGTCGATTTGATATTATTCAACATGGTCTTGAGTCGGCTTGAGAGAGAAACCATGTATGAACCAAATTGACGATAATCTCCAAAAATTGCCATAGCGGCAGATTCGTCCAGGCCAGCAAATCCACGAGTAGCAGCAGCTGGCAAGCCTCCTTCATCCCCATTGTCGTCACCTTCACCGTCACCGCCGTTATCTTGGTCATCCATGGCGATATCATCGTCGTCACAGCCATCAGGGAGTTCTTCATGAGCAGGTTCATCGGGCCTAACTATCGCGGGATCAAGCATCGCAACGTCTTCGCCGGCCATCTTCGAAGGTCCTGCGGAAGCACCAGATTTACTTTTCACCGCTGCTTTCGCTTTGCTTGCTGATGGTCTATAAGGTAACGTGTGAGCCAGTCCTGGGGGGGGAGAGAATGTGAACACAAACCTGGGTTTCCTAGGCATGGGTGCGGATGCAGAGGTTGAGGCGTCTGCTCGGGATCTCAAAGAATATGCTGTGGTTCTTGTGCGCTTAGAAGATAAGGTTATGTTCTGCCCCTCTTCTTCTGAATCCGGTTCTGGAGCGGCGCGCTTCTTTCCTTTGCGGTCTTTTATTGGTTCGGTAATTGCAAGTGGTGGGGCAGATGCAGAAGGCAGTGTTGCTCGACGTCCTCTGCTATCAGGGCGTCAGTTAAATATATCCTGTGTGCGAGAAGTTATCCACCGTACCTCTTGCTCACACGTGTCGTTTCGTCTGAAATTTCCTTGGACTTTCCGTTTCCTGAACTACCCTCTCGAGGACGCTTGTTCTTAGTCTGGGTTGTAGACCTAGTTGCACGGGTGCTCTCCGATGGCACTGCTACGGATTGCTCTGCTGAGTCACCTTCTCTATCTTTCGCTTGCTCTCGTTCTTTCTCCTTCTGCTTGGCTGCTTTCACTCTTGCGCTAGAACGTGTTGGCTTGAATTCTGTAGTCGATGCTGACGCCGATGTCGCTGGAAAGTGAGCTTGTTCTGATTCTGGTGGCTGCAAGGGTACACTGGAGCTTGTGGCTTCTTGCTGATGGATTGGTTGATAGTCCATTAGAACATGCTCCCAGCCATCGATTCTGAGGTTGAGCTAGATGTTAGGAAGCTGGTGGTCAATGAGAAAGAAACGATGCGTCGACGCAATGTTTAAGCCGGTGCTCGAATTCGGGTAGATGCCGCCTGGAGAAGGCGTGCGAAAGCGATGGTGGCGCAACCTCGCGGAATGCCCCGATTGCCGATGGGCTTGGGGTTGCTGCGCAGGGATACCTACTAGGCATCCAAAAGATTGATAATACTGGTATATACGTACAGGTCTGATTGATATCTATGCAAAGTTTTCCGTCAACACCTCCTCGATGCTCTTTACGAAAATATCCACAATCTTTTCTATCTCCTCTGTGGTAGCATTGTATGCAGGACCGAGCATGAGGTGGTCCCCCTTTGACCCATCGAGAGTGGAGCCACCGGCCATACCCATTGCAACAAGTCCGTTTGTAAGGCAACGTGCCTGCACTACCATCGCGAATTGTTGGCCCTTCATATCAACACGGCGTGCCTCGAGGCTGGAGAAGTCGAGTTCGATCCCAAAGAAAGCCCCAGCCCCGCGCACATCGAATGTATATGGCGCTGCAAGAGCATTTGGGGACTGCAGGCGGTCTTTCAGAAGTGCAAGCATATGTACGCCGTTCTTCCTGCACTGCGCAAGGAGATCCTCCTCGATAATGACCTTCTGCACAGCTAAAGATGCCGCGCATGCTAGTGGATTTGCCTGTTAATAATAAGCGTCAGTGACCGGCTCTGCGATAGCCTCATATTACCGACCTGATATGTGTGACCGTGCTTGATCAGTCCGGAACTCCCCCTGATCCCTTTCGCAACTTTAGGCGAAATGAGAACAGCGCCTATGGCAGCGTAACTGTAGCCCGATCAGTAAATTAAAAGTGAATGAATATGTAATACTCGCCCACCGCCCAAACCCTTGGCTACTGCCTGCAGGTCAGGTGCAACACCATCTCCGAGGCTCTGCCAAGCGTGCAGAGTACCCATTCCTGGATATCCACCATCAATAGCGGTCGAGATCAGCATATCGAGATCACTTACGACCCATGCCAGACATTACCTCATCGAGCATGAAAAGGGCACCGTATTTGTGGCAGACGGACTTCATGGCATTGAAGTATCCCTTTGGTGCACTCACAACCCCTGTTGTTGCACCAACGACAGTCTCTGCGATAACTACCGATCGTCAGATTTTGAAAGGCGCGACAAGAGAACCGCAATAACATACATCCGATTACTGTGTCCGGACCGAGTTCGATGAATTTATCCTCGAGTTCTTGTTGGAGTCGCTCGACGTATTGCTCCTCCGTCTCATCTGGTTTTTGGAACCTCTTCGCGTAGGCCGGGGAGACGTGGTGGAAATTCTGATGGTCTAGAATAGCCTCGTACGGTGCACGGCGTCCGGGATGGTACGCGAGGGATAGAGTACTCAAGGTATTTCCATGGAAGGACATTTGACGGGCAATGTAGTTTGTCCGTTTTGGCTGCCCCACCTCGACGTAGTACTGCATTGTTTTTCATAAGCCCTTTACCCGAGCTTCTGCAATGAAAACATACCTGTCTCGAGAGTTTGATGACAGTCTCCATCGCTTCCGAACCTAGAGCGCTGGCAGTCAGCAATGTTCAAGCAGGGCTCGATAACGATACCTCCAGATAAGAATGCGACCTGTTCGAAGGCACCATCACTAGTATCCACGAGTAATTTAGCCAGTTCCTCTGCGGGAGGGCTGGAAAGCTGCATATTATATACATCTATTCACACGATCAGTCAGATACTACGGGGTGAAGAGAAAGACATTACAGGACATAACATCGATCTGGTCCTTTAGGGCTTTGACTACCTTGGGATGCCTTCCGCCGATGCAGGTTACAGCAGCACCACCGATGCCATCGATGACACGTCGACCGTCCTCAAGATCGATGTAAACCCCATCAGTGGCAATGGCGATGGGAGGTGTCCATGGCGTTCTATGCAAAATAGATGTCGGTCGAGCGTCCATGCTTGGAAGTCAAAAGATCAAGTGAAGAGATGATCTTGATATGAGCTGGAGTCTGAGAGAATCACAAGGGCGAACCTAAACGGTGATGATTATAATTTAGAGAAATCTCGATAACCCGATACATACCTACTGTCTAACGGAGGAGCGGCTCTCCTTCGAAGCTAACCTAAATTGAAAGTCAGTCTTGTCAACGGACTATTTAACTCATCGGGCCTGCACGAATAATAATGTTCATGATACTTATAAGATGACATGTAATACATACATCCGTTTTCAATTTCATGCTGTGCCAATGGAGTCAGTTTGCAAGCGCGCGTGTTATCGAAACGCTGGTCACCTGACCAATTTGGCTTGTCGGTCTCACTCTTTCCAACTTATCTGCTTCTTTATATGAGTGCATGGCTTCCTTGACCAAGAAACGCAAGGAACCTTCACAAACTCGTACCATAGTTGATTTCTTCTCGAATAACGCGTCTACAAAGAAGAGCAAGCTTCAAAGCGCGCCTCCCAAGACTAACAAGAAGGAGAACTTCAAAGCTCCTCTACCTCGGGAGGTTATCATTATAGACTCAGACAGCGATGATTGTTCATCAAAAAGAAACAAAGGGAAGGCACGAACAATTACAGGTGCTCAGAAACAACGCTTTCCCCCGGAAGGGGGAAAGGGAAACATCTGTTGTTCTAAGCAAGGCGCGTCTCTCACACGCGTCGCTCTTCTGTCAAACCCCGAAGAACTCCACGATGATGGACCCCTCACATTTGGAAAGCCATCCGCTTTGTTACAAGTCCCCGTTCAGAGCAACACGGCTGCCATAGCGTGCAAGGAGACTTTACTCCAGGCGTCGGTCGTTGAAACTACTTCTACCTCCTCTATTTTCGGTGTTCCAACGTTGTTACTCCGGTCCTCAGTCGAGCCTGTTCATGAGCTACCTCTGAGAGGAAAGGCATCTACAGAAGTCGGCTGCACTTCATATCACCCCTCAGTCGATGTTCCCACTCCCCATAAGGATCCTGTGAACATACCGCATTCCATCGATGTCGTAGACATCGATTTGACAGGTGACGATGAGCAATGGAGTGTAGGAGACGATGAGCTGGCCGCCCTCGGGGCCATTAACGACGACATTGAAATGGAGGACGTCTCAGAACAACTCAATGACTGCATCAATCATGCTAGTTGTCCTATCTGCGAACGGGATCTATCATATTTACTTGGCGTGGTTGGTGACATGACTGCGCTGTAGATGACCCCTCTGATGCATATTTCAGGAAAGAGAATACCACGTCAATCAATGTCTTGACTCCGCTGTCAGTTCCTCGAACACATCAAGTACTTCAAACTTAGATGCAAAATCTGTTTCGTGCGATCAAAGCACGAGCAAACTGGACGGTATTCTAATCCCCGATCTATATTCCGTCTTGCTGGCGTCACATAAGGAAAATGAAGCTTGGAAAGAGGCCGACCTCGCAGAGGACCGTAGCTTTCGACCAACACGAGCGCCAGGCAGCCGGAGAAAGGCACCATTCTACAAAGTTCTGCAGGGCATGCCCATCGCCGTTGATGCATTCCGCTATGGAACCATACCAGGCATCACCGCCTACTTCTTAACGTGCGTACTCCAAACTGACATGCCGTCACAGCCTCACACGATTTTCAGCCATGCTCATTCAGATCACTATACCAACCTAGCTTCGAACTGGAAGAGCGGGCTAATTTATTGCTCAGGTATAGCATATCCCAGCCTTTTAGTTGAACGCCAATATTGAAGTCTACTAGGGGATACAGCTAATTTGATCATACATATGTTATCAGTTGATCCCAAGTGGGTTCACCCACTTCCGATGGACGTCCCTACAGTTGTCCCCGACACCGGCGGGGTAACTGTCACACTTATTGAAGCTAACCATTGCCCAGGCTCGTGCCTATTTCTATTCGAGGGCCCACAGACCGTGCACGCGGGTGACAGCGCCTTCAAATCGCCATTCGTTGGTTCTGAAAAGACTTTCCGATACTTGCATTGTGGAGACTTCAGAGCTTCGCCACAGCATGTAATGCACCCTGCGGTGAGAGGAAAGCAAATTGATCATGTATATCTAGATACGACCTACTTGGACCCGAAGGTCGGTCAGTTGCTATCTTGACGAGGCGATGACGCTTATCTTGTATCAGTATACCTTTCCTCCGCAGCCGCTGGTCATCTCAGCCTGCGCAGAGCTAGCCAAGAGGATTGTATCTGGGGAGTGGATTGGCCCTCCGGACACGAACGGAAAGCGGAACTCGACCATGAATGCTTGGGTTACTCTTTCAGACAAGGCAGATGATACTGTCGTGAAACAGCCCAAAGAGAGAATGTTGGTGGTTGTTGGGTAAGTTGGCTATGCTATATGTCCAGTTTGATCGCCGATACGTTTTCTGTGCAGCACCTACTCCATTGGCAAAGAACGCATTGTTAAGGGTGAGTGTTCTTGATCGGACAGCATCTTGCTTATATAACTGTTTCTAGCTATCGCGCAGGCCCTCAAGACTAAAGTGTATTGTGACGCACATAAAGCGGCCATCCTACAATGTCAAAATGACCCTGAGTTGCATGCGCTATTGACCAAGGACCCAAATGAAGCTGGCGTGCATCTTGTTCCGTTGGGCATGATCGTTTCAGACAAGCTCAAGGCGTACGTGCAAAGGTTCAAAGGCACATACTCCCGGGCTGTCGGTTTCAGGCCCACAGGATGGACGTAAGCGTTTGACGTATTCCTTCGCATCCATTGATTAATCAATACTACTTCAGTTACGCACCACCGTCCGGCAGCGACCTCAGCCCATCCATTCCATCCATCATCTCGCGCGGGCAGTCACGGTCCTTCACACATGCAGACCTGAAGCCTATGCAAAAGTCGACATATGCTGTGCAACTTTATGGCGTGCCATATTCAGAGCACAGTTCATTTTTTGAGCTTACGTGCTTTGCGATGTCGTGTGACTGGGTAAAGATGATTCCGACTGTCAATGTCGGGAGCGAAGGATCCAGAGCGAAGATGGCAAAATGGGTGGAACGCTGGGAAATTGAGAAGAAACGGAGTAAGGAGGTAATGATAAAACCTAGAGCTACTGATTACTGGTGATATTCCCTCGATGAGTAATACAGCGCCATTCGCACGTAATGAAGACAAGAAATAGAGTGCAGATGAATCATATATTCATAACCACCATGCGAGTATCTGCATTTTTGCGTCGTGATCAGCCATACACATGGGGCATAGAGTGAAAGTAATGCTGCAAAAGAAATCAATAGACCTTCCGCGACAACATCTATTGCTCGGCAGCCCGCTGTCTCCTCCTGAGATCTCTCTCCTCCGAGATGGTAAGCTTCGTACCCTTGCCCTTGGGTAGTGATATCCAGGGCTTCGAGCCTTCACCAGTGATGAAGATGTTAGAAATACTAATCACAAAGATTAGAAATTGTTTGTCAACGCATGGAACGCACTTACCGAGTGGCGAAGGTCCTGTCCAAGGAGTCCTTGACGTGCACGATATCAAATCCACCAATGTGCTTCTCGCGGTGCGTGATGACACCTGCACGACCCATGTTACGTCCACCAGTAATCATCACACTGTTTCCGGTATCAAAGTGAACGAATTCGATGATTTTGCCTTGCTCAAGGTCAAATTTGACAGTGTCGTTGACTTTGATGGCAGGGTCGGGATAGCGGATGGTGCGGCCGTCGTGAGTGACGATATGAGGGACACCCTTGGCGCCGAGAGCGACCTGGCGGACTTTAAGGAGCTTGTATGAAGCCTCCTCGGGAGTGATGCGGTGGATAGTGAAACGACCCTTGACATCGTAAAGAAGGCGGAAGTGCTCGCCGGACTTTTCAATAGAGATGGTGTCTAATCAGTGAAAAATGAGACCAAGTAAGCTAACCAAGAAAAAACGCTTCTTTACCCATGAAGCCAGTGGGGAATGTGGTGTCTGTGCGCACTTTGCCGTCAACTTTGATCAATCGCTGCTTGACGATTGAGGTGACTTCACGGCCGTTCAGTGCGTACTTCAACCTGTTGCGAAGGAAGATGGTGAGGGGAAGCGATTCACGGAGCTTGTGGGGACCAGGGGAAGGACGGGGAGCCTAGGGCATATTTCTAGAACTTGAGGACAAAAGACAGCCACAGTATACCGGATGTACGCACGTAGGTACCGCTCAACTTGTCCAACATCCATGAGGAGGGCGCAGCAAGGCGCTTCAAGTGTTTTTTCGGTCCGCGTGCCTACATATGACAAGGGAGAGTCAGCTCTGCGTTTGAGTATATCAAGCAGCGAGAAGAGCGAGATTTGCGGGTAAAGCATCCTGGTACATCCATCTCTAAATCACCACATCCACCTATCCAACGTCGAGGATCGCGTCAAAATTGTATTCGTGGCTACGACTGGATCCATAAGAGGTCTAAGGACAAGAGCACTGACCATGATGAAAGTCTTGAGGGGGGTACGGCGTCAGCGGCGACGATCTTGATTTCGGTGCCTACGTTTGACTGGGTCAACACATTCACTGAGCTGACAAGTTTAGGGTGGGTAAATGCAAAGTCACGTGATACATAGCTTTGACTCTAGATCTCAGTCTCAGAACTTAAAGAAGCATTAAGATCAACGTATAAACAGCGCTGAGCGCTGAATATTCGACTGTATTGCAGCTGCGTCGTGTACGTCGACAGTCGAAAGCTGGCTGATGTTAAGCGGCTGGGGAAGCATTCACATACGCCCCGCCACTCGGTAAACAACGGCAAACTCAAGTACCGTGAAGAGTGGCTGTACAGCTGTATCCTTACCTTCAAAGTTATTCCGCAGACGCTGGCAGTGTCGACAGTGCTCTTTTTCATTTCTAGACCTAGGGCAATACGGCCAGCTACTTGAACATATCCCCCATGCTCGACCACCTACCTTCAAAACTAGCCTACAATAACTACTCACCAGCTAATGCCTTCGATAATCAGTACACCAACTCTGGCGAAGGCTGGCAGGCCACCTTCCCAGGTGAAAAACCTGTCTTGAATGGAGGTCTTCCTTATGCAAGACATTCATCCTCGCGCCTGGCACCAGGTGCAATCCTGGCGAGATTTCGAAAGCGCTTTTATTCCATTTTTCCCAACTCAGCATCTACATTATCTTCACGGCGATCTCTTGGTCCTCTTACAACACCTTCTCCATCTTCAGCCGCATCAACAACTCGATTTATTCTTCTGTGCAGTTTCTGGTACACCACCTCTGCACTTTCATCAAATACCGGCAAGACTATCCTCATGCAATTCAAATACCCTGTCACACTCACCATCATACAATTCGCATTCGTCGCCGGTTACTGTCTACTATTCATGTCTCCAGTAATTCGATTTACAAAATTGCGTCCACCAACTGGTGCAATTTTACGAAGCACCCTGCCCATGGGCATGTTCCAAGTTGGCGGTCACATGTTTTCTAGCATGGCAATCTCCAAGATACCTGTCAGCACCGTACATACCATCAAGGTATGCTGTACTGTTGATTCCTCATTTTTAGGTGATGAACCCCTTTCAGGCTCTATCTCCGCTGTTCACCGTTGCTGCTTACGCCATACTTTTCCGCGTCAAGTATACCCCGAAGACATACTTCTCTCTTCTCCCATTGACCATTGGTGTCATGCTAGCATGTACGTTTGAGGCCGCATCGAGTCCGACTGGTCTGCTGTGCGCATTTGGTTCCGCCCTTGTATTCGTCAGTTCGAACATCTTCTTTAAGAAGATTATGCCCTCAGGGTCGCAAACATCATCCCACAAGTTGGATAAACTCAACTTGCTGCTTTATTCTTCAGGCATGGCATTCATATTGATGATCCCAATTTGGAGCTTCACCGATCTTCCTCGCCTCCTTGCCGCCGACTCCACTCATGTTACGAACCCGAGTCATGGACACGAGGCTCCTTCGATCCCGTATTATTTGTTTATGAACGTCACCGTCCACTTTGCGCAGAACATCATCGCATTCGTGATTCTTTCAACCACATCCCCTGTGACGTACTCTATCGCCTCTCTCATCAAGCGCGTCGCAGTCATCTGCATCGCTATTGTATGGTTCAACCAGAGCGTGCACCCCATGCAAGGCTTCGGTATTGGGTTGACCTTTGTTGGTTTATACATGTACAACACCGCGAATAGTGACGTTGAACGAGGGGAAAACAGAATGCGCAGGGTAGAGGCGACGCGGGACATGATGCTCCCAATCAATCGGACGGACGAGAAGATATTGAATGGGAGCTCACCACCATCCCCCGTTCCTGGTGCACCGGAGCTTCCGACGGCTGCAGCCACAGGAATGGGACCCCACTCTGCTGCTGGCCGACCGCGGCTGCAGATTCCAACAAACGGGCATTTACACCCAGATTCGCGTGGGAATGGGAATGGGCATCCTAATCTACATATCCAGATTTCTCCCAAGGACCCTTCGTCCATCTTTTCGAAGCGCAATACCATTTCGCCTACAGAGCCATACCCCTCGCCGCCTGCCTCGATCGACTCGCCACCTTCCAATACGGTTCCTATTGGATATCAGCCCCCGCGTATACAGCGGCATTTTGGCATGGAGTCGTTGACTGTCGGACACGTTACTGCTTAGCAGACCCAGTATCTCTATCCATATTTATTCTCAAGGGAGTTGCCTTTGATTATTGTAAATAGTGTTGCGACCAACGATCTCTACATGATATTAGACAACAAAGTAAGTACATAGTGCTTATTCTGTTCAGAGACGATTTGGACATGTACATAGATACGTGTTTCTGCTCAGTGCCATTGTGACAAAGTATGAGCTAATCAGAGTCTAGACACGCGACTTATGGTTTGCGGAAGGTTTAGTTGCCACACCCACGTTTGAAATTGAAGCCTCGACACCTCTTACACTACAGTACGACTAGCTAGACATGTCTGAAAGTGAGTCAGTTTGGGCTGCATCACATGTGGCGGAACCCTCAGTCGAGGACGATGAACCGACAACAGTAGCAGCAGCTGCTGCACCTCAACCGGGCGCGACGCCCACTGTACTGGCGCGTACACCAGGCCCAGAACCAACGTCTGCTCTGAATGCGCCCAACCTCATTGAGGCTGCGCTAGAAGACGACAAGGAACCGCAGAATCTGTTAACGGAGAAGTTTACCGACGCTGAGTGGAAGGCCTTGAAGGAATTCCGCGTGAGTTGGGTCAAGACTATTTATACATTTTGGGCATGATATTCAATCTGTATCTACAGAGTAATTTGTCTGAAATCTTCAAGGAGGCCTTTCCAGAGCAAGAGGATGCTGGGACCACGCCATATAAGTTGTGGGGTGTCACCATCAACCCGCTGATACCCAAAGATGCCCGCGTCAGCGTCGTGCTAATGAAGTTCCTTCGTGCAAGGTACGTTTCACTGTCTTTCAATAGAATTCATCATTGACATCAACCGGATAGAAATCTCAATCCGCTAGAGGCAAAGGACATGTTCATCTCGACTCTGCGGTGGCGCAAGTCTTTCAATGTCGATGAGGCTATGAAGGAAAAGTTTCCTGAAGATGTATTTGGGAAGCTTGGGAAAACGTACGGGAAGGACAAGGACGGACATCCCATCGCGTATGCCCACGTACCTCTTGGAGAAATCTCATTCTGACTCAAATTTTGAAGGTATAACCTATATGGCGCCAATAAGGATCTGGATGCCGTCTTCGGCGACACCCAGCGCTTTCTAAGGTACATATACGGTATACTCATGATGTCATTGCTAAACCTTTTGTAGATGGCGTGTTGCTTTTATGGAAGAAAGCATAGCGCTGCTCGACTTCGAGACTGTTGACCAGATGGTCCAAATACATGGTGTGTATGCTTGTATTAAGGGTTGTCGTGCCGCTCAGCTTTCGTTGGATGTCACAGACTACGAGGGTGTAGGCATGTCGAGTAGAACACCGGCCTCCAAAAATGCGGCATCCGAAGCGTCCAGTATATTCCAGGGCCACTATCCCGAATTCTTGGTTCGGTTTCTTGTCTCCACTGGCTCCAGAATGTGACATATTCTATTCACAGGCAAAGAAGTTCTTTGTCAACGTGCCCAGCTTTCTCACTTGGATCTTTTGGATATTCAAGCCTCTCCTGTCAGCTGCAACAGTGGCGAAGATGAGCGTTGTTGGTTCTGGTCCCAAGACTATCGGATCCGCTCTTCTACCTGTGATCCCTGCCGACCAGTTGCCAAAGAGGTATGGAGGGGACGCTGACGGATTCTAATCTTACTGGAGAGGACGAGTCTAAAAACATGTGTACATTTTGATTGTGTTTCTTGAAAGTCTTATGCATCCCAGATTCCCAGCCACATTGTATTATACTTCACATTCCTTCAGGGCCCCGAGAAATTTTTCCGTTGACACACTTTGGTCGTACTGGACGTTTGTAAGAGCCTGTATGTTAATCGATCTCTTGTTAGGTGAAACAGATGGGAATGAGAGTGAGTCAGACTTGAAACCTGCGATTGTAACTTAGTGTTCTGAGCGTCACACGCACCTACCATGTAAGTAATCCAGTGCTCATAAAATTGTAACTCACCATGTGGTGATCCAGCCATTATGACGAAAGTTGTCACTCCATCCTGGCACTTCCGGACCCGGTGATGTGTTGTTACCTGTTCCAACAACTAACTGTTTCAAGGCATTCCGTAAGAACGTAGACTCAGGCTACGAGGGGGTAAGCATGTTGAGTAGAACACAGGCCTTCAAGATGTAGCATCCGAAGTGTTCCAGGGCTACTAGATCCCAAATTTCTGGTACGTTCGTCTCTCTCCAGAAATTGACGTGTTCCACTTTGAATTGTGCTACGGATGTCGCGTGAACTATCGTGTATTGTCCCTTTAACATATGTACTACTCCAACCCAAACTACGAAGACTAAACAGATACCAGCCAGATGGATAAAGCGAGGAAAGCAGTGAAACAACACTATAGTACAACAGTGGACGAGATTTTTTTGAGTTGCTGCGACTGTCCGACGACAGGAAAGAGGGATTGGACGGCTGTCGAAGCCATAAAAAAGGCAGGAAGCGGCGAGGTATGGAGGAATTAAAATTTGAGAGCGCATGTTTTGCTGTATGTCAGCTTATTCCCCGCCCCCGATGCTACTACCGCTAGCGGTCGTTGCGGCATATTCGTGCTTGACAGGGTCCCAAGCATCAATCCAACTCGGAGGTCGTCCACCTGGCGCCCACTTGGCGAAACGAGAATGCGCTGGGTGGGTGGAAGAGCGTGGCGAGCGCAAATTCGGATTACTGAGTGAAAGAGCGGTCAAAAGTCAATTGTTGCAAGCAATATTCCAAAGGAAGTCTTACTTCGCGCTCAATGTTGGGCCCAATGCCAGCCGTGCGAAATTGCTTGGGAAGAGCGGGTTTCCTGGGGCACGGTCTCCAACAGGATCGTACACGCGCTCGCTATCGTTGTCGCCGAAGTCAGATCCAGCTGAGTTGTAGTTGTGACTGTAGGTGCTAGGGAGAGTTAGTAAGTCCGCCATAAGACCCAGAAAGAAACCAACCTGAACGTGGGCCGTCCAAGACTGTTGACAGAACCATGCGAACTCGTACGAGAAACGCGCCTAGTAAGGGGGAGGGAAAATTCCGACAACCATTTAAGCTCAGTGCTGTTGCGTCTCGAGTCGTTGACGTTTATGACTGGGCTAGTAGGATATGAAAATGATTGTGGCGCAATAGCAGGAGAATGCGGCACAGGCGAAGTAGAGATGCGTAATCCATGAATCTGCGAAGAATCTTCGACAGGTCGAGTTTCCTTTTCGGACGGATCGGTGTCTGCGCACGCCTCATCTTCTGCCTCCTCGCCAATATCATGCAGTCCATCGCCCTGTCCGAGAGAAGTAGACTGCGACAAGTTTGATAGGAGGCTGAGCGGGGGCGGATTAGCTGAACCAGGAGTGGAGACATTCGCGTTTGAGGAAAGTGTTGCGAGTATGGGCTCAATCAACAAGTGAGTTGGGGTTGAGAGGGGGTCCTCTACTGGGGATGAGGACATAGAGTCATAAGGTTGGGCATCACTAGGTGGCAATGTATGGAGTGTGTCTGTCTCTCCAGGATCTTCGAAAGCCGCGCCTACATCCAACATTGCTGGAATAGGAGCGGCAGGGACGCCTGACAGCTGATCATCTACAGCGATTACACTCTCCGCGTCGTCTTCTTCTTCATCATCAACCTCAAGTTCTGGAGGGACGCCAAGAGCCCCCTTCAGACGCTCCCAGATGAGCTCGGAATGGGAAAGAACGCATCTGCGCGCGTTGCGCACCCAGAGGGCATCACTGACTGTCTGCCGATCCATAGTGGTTAGCCAGAGACGCAAAGTCCCAAAGGACCATTTCGCAGGATTCGTAGAGAATGCAGCATCATCAAGATCTTCTGAGGCTTGTTTCCTGGGAAATGTCTGAGCGAGGAGGGAAAAAAGTTTGGTTGTGGGTGGAGTTGATAGTAATTGGGCTACTTCAGCGGGGCGATCGATGAAAGGAAGGTATACGTCCTCGGGTAAAGGGGTGAATGTTGCAGGTGCTGTCATTGTGTCAGCGGCCGGACAGGAGGAACCCCCCGGGCCTGCAAGCGCAGGAGGATGAGGTGTACTAGGAGTAGACGCAGACGGAGGGACGTAACGAGGGCTGGTTGATTGACGAGCAAGGTCGACGAGCTGTTCTGGGGACAAGTTGGGTTTTGAAAATGGGGTAGAACCTGAGGAAGATAGTCTCCGGTTGAACTGCGGTGAGCTAGAGCGTAGACGAGGGGAAGGAGATGGGCTGGAGGCTCGCCGGCTCGAGGTAGTAGTAACAGCTGGTGCTGTCCCAGATGAAGAACCGGAATTTGAAGAATTCGGAGCGAAGGATGAAAATGCAAAGCTGAGCCTACTAGCTGATCCATCTGCATTCGTCGAAGGAGTTACACTTCCAGGATGACGTATTGAACGGCGGTGAAGCCCTGGTGCAGGCGGGTCTGAAAGATGGATCTGACTGGTCCCAGTACCTTGGGGTGCGCCTGCTTGCGAACTGGGATTCAGGACACGAACGATGGTCAAAGTCGAGGATGAAGATCGATTAGGATCATGGTTGAGGGAAGCATGCTGCCCGAATGGATCAGATGCACTAACAGATCCTCGTCGAACAGATAATCTTCGCTGCGGCTGGGGCATGGTTTCTTTCAAGTCGCAGCTGCGCTCACAGCTTGTTTAAAGCAATGTGAAACAATCAAGGATCTTTATATATGGTGGGACGCGGGGACGATGCGGGGCGAGAAGATTTGATGGATAATCATAATCTGACGCAGGTGGCTCATAATGGTCATCACGTACGTCATGACGCCGGAAACGCCCACCTACAAGTCAACTACAAGTCTACCAACGTTGCTGCGTGGTCTAAGACAAGTAGATATAAAAATCATTCAAAGTGAACCTCCAAGCTCGATGGCAAAAGCCACAGCCAATTTAGAAAACTCCAGCATGTGCGAAAAGCTAAATTCATCCGAGATATCAATCCTGCTATTAAAAGACTCGTGTCAGTATTCTCAAGTCTCAAAATATGGTCTTAAAAACTAACTCGTTGGCGGTATGAATGTTATTGTGGTTTGAATTCTCGAATGCCCCCTCTGAAACCATATTCAGAATTATGATGCACGTAATAAAGTCTTATCTTACCAATAGTAAAGATGCTAGGATATCCCGCTTTGCTCCAAGGGGCACTGTGATAGGGCACTTAGTTGACACTCGCAACCAAGTACATAATGCAACTCACTGGTCGGAACAAGCATATCCACATTTGGTTTCAACAAATGGTATATCCAGATATTCAGTAATCAGTTCCTTATTGAAGGTCGTCAAGCTAGTAAGTATTACATGTTAGCATACAACAAATGATCTTGGCAAAATGCTCACGTTGGGTCCACATAGTCCACAATTACACCAACTTCCTCTGGCGTACCTCTCTTTACCCATGCTGTCATGTCATACTATTGAAGTTAAAGTTAGGTTACCATAATAGATGTGATGCATTGCTCTCACCTGACTCATAGCGAAAACCTTCAAACCCTGAGCTTCATAGTGCTGAGCGACAGCCTGTGAACCAAGAAGACCACCCTCCTGAAAACTCAGCATCAGCAACTGCGTACACGCGCCACACATTTACATTACTTACTTCAGCAGAATACCAGTGGAACTCAACAGGTCGGATTGGGTGGAAATCATTTTCCAAAAGTGCACGGTATGACTCGAGTATGGTTACACTCCCAGATCCATCATCATCAGCACCTTACTCGAAAATCAGCCAGCAAACTCAAAAGATCTACAGAGGACAAATTACCAGGGGCAGCAAGGAATGGCCACATGTTCGTGCTGGAAAAACAACGTCAGTTCCGCAAACATGATATCGATTGACAACAATCACCTGTCTTGGTGAGCACCAAGGATGACAATCCGATCGTCCACTGCATCGGAACCGTTGATTCTGACAATCTAGCCAGCAAATTACTAATGAGAACGAGATTCAGTGATCGGGCCTACAATCGAATGTTGTCCCCAAGAATGATGGAACTCGTTGATACTGATCATAGACTTCAATGAAGGCGACGCAAAATCCAACGTAACCTGGGGACCAAAGCATCAGCAATCACTCCCGCATCATGTTGAGAATATACTTCATTGATCTTTGACAGTAGCCATTGCTGACTCTCCTTTCCTGTCTATACAGAGTTGAGAGGGTTCCAAATTGGACTGCGAAGGTTACGAATTACCTGACTGCGATAGTCTACGACATTGCGTCAGTGCGCTAATTAGTACTACGCGAATGTAAGACCTACACCTTGTTCTAAAGCTCGAGAACTTCACCAAGTTTGCCCTGGGTCCTTCAGTAGAAAGAGTCTTGATGACTTTGGTGACTTGTTCATGTGCGCTTAGCGGTGGGTATGAAGCTGTAAAGGGGCAAGCTCTACGACTATCGCAACCGAACAGTTGGTGTACTCACTCTTCGTCGCAATGCGCAAGTGAGCAGTCGAACCGAGGCTAAGGTTCTCTGTCCTAGACACGCAAACAAAACTGAACACCGACATCCAAATGAAGAAAGGAAATTAAGTACACGTCAAAGAAACGAAGCCCCTTGCCTTTAGCCTCGATCTAGATGAAGAACGATGAGTAGATAGATCAAACCCGCAGTGTATCCTGAGTCTTCACCTTCTCGAGTTCGGTCATCCATACCGGTTCCTGACCTTCCGATAACTGAACCAGCCGGAGTTCATTCAAGTCCAAATTGAAACCGGGTTGAGGACTAGAGGGCACGTCAAACACCTGGCCTTGCACAACAACCTGGCGGTTGCTTCCTGTATCATAGAAGGCTTGTTTGACAGGATTGGAAAGTGCAATTCCGCTAAAAGAGAGCAGGAGGAGCGAAATCTTTGACTTCATATTACTTAGCGGTGGGAGTACGGAGTAAAGCTATAAGTACACCGTGTTGACCAAGCTTTTGAAGTCGGTCGATCGGCGTGATGTAAGCACTAGCACTACTGCGGCCGCGCGGTGCTGTGACGAAGTTCGTAGTGTGGGATTCAGAAGCTAAGCATTTACTGTTGGCCTCGGCCCTCAGCTCAGCACTCAGCATTTCAAAACTCGTTTCTTAGCAGGCTTGGAATGGCCCATCTGTACACTCAAAGTACTATACTGTCTATACACAATGACATGGTTCCGGTGCAATAGCTACAACTGTGAGTAATCAAAAAGGACCGAGTACGGTACACTACATCATCATGGCCACAATCTATTAATATTAATATTCCTCATGCCCAACGCCCCAGGAGCGCCATGATCCCGGTTCCAAAGAGCATGCATGAGATGGCATAGGCAACGCGTCTGTTAGACCCGGTGATCATTTCTTTGTTGAAGATAAACTCATGCGCAAGAAGCTGGGTCAAAAATGATGAGTATTCGGGTTCTGGTCACCATCGGTGAGAAGTACATACCTCAACGAGACCAGTATACAACAGGATACCCGCACTCAGTGAATCGAGCACTCCACTCACGATGGAGGCGGTGGTGCTGCCTGGGTTGTACGTGCTTTTAACTCCAAGCCCAACTGCGATGCCTAATGGTGTGGTGATTCCGTACAATAGTGCGGCACAGATGGCTACATAATTGTACTTCGGCGGAAGCCGCAAGTAAGCCAAACGAGTGCCGATTCCAAGGCCCTCGAAGGTTTCTGCGGTATTATGTCAGTCGCGATTATTCATATGGTACTGAGTATTGCTCACGGTGAAATATGATGACAACAAACAGTATCTTGAAGCTAGGATCAACCGCCAGCGTCAGACCAATGAGTAGACTTCGCAATGAGCAAGCATGAGTTAATAATCGGACGTGAATCAGGGGATATCACACCTATGCAATAATACACCAAATTCTAGGATGAACACACCAATGATCTGCCCTGCAGCACCAAGATCCAGGCGCTTGTGCCCGTGGGCAGATTCTATATCTTCCTTGATCTCCTCAGAACTTGAGTCGTTATCCAGTCCCGTTGGCAAACTTCCAGCTTCAGGTCCATGTGCAGCGTGCGCGCCGAGACCATGACCATGTGCATCTGTCTTCAAATAAGGAGAGTTTCAGCATGTAACCAGTGCGAAACGCACCGTGCATCATACCGAGGGCCGCCAGCTTAGATGTACCCCACCTGAAGGCCACCAGCTCAACAATAAAGATTGAAAATATGCTGAGCATTGCTAATGCAAGTGCGTATGGCTGTGGTACACGTAAGTAATTATACTGCTTCCATAAACTCCCGACTTACATACTGCTGCCAAGCTGGCGACAGGCATGGAGATCCAAGCTCACTAAGAGCTGGGCTGAGGAGGTGAATAAAAGCTGTAGCTATCTGCGTGAATGTAAGTCCCCGATCTCATTGATCAGCTCATGCGACGCACAATGACACCGGAGCCAAAGAACTTGGCAAAGCTACGAGACTCGTCAGAACACTGCATGCGTTCGCGTTGAATAATTGACTGCTCACTCGAAGACGGGTTTGGGAACGTGAAGCCAGCTTGTCCGTTTAGCAAGCACTGGAAAAAGTGCGCCGCTAGTCGATCCGATGAGGATGATGAAGACCGACGCTATCCGCAACTGTGGATATGTAGTCGCGCCCCCACCAGAACCGCAATTTAAGCTTGAGTCTGACATGATGAATTTGAGGTGAGGTCGCCGTCGACGATGTTGGCGGGTCAGAGAATGCTCTGGGAGGAATTTAGTGATGCTTGTGAATGTTAAATATGCTGTCTAGTTTTCATGACTGGGAGGGTCCTCACTGGCAGGTAATCGGGCCTCCTGATGCGGATGCAGGTTGGTCACAGCCACCGCTGTCACCGGGCCCGTTTCTACAGGTTTCTACTGTCTACGAAACCATGCATGGCCCCCAGATTCGCAATCAGAGAGCGCACTCTGACGATGGAATATGTTAGAACAATATTGGAATACCCGGAGGTGCAATCACATCCTCCAATAATACTCCGGGTCACAATGTGCTCCGATCTGGCCTCAGACTAGAGGCACCCTGTCTGTTCATGTATAAGCTAGCTTGTCAATAACAATAAAATGTTTTAAATTTCTTGCCCACGTCTCCGGAGTCCGTGGACTTACGATCATATATGTATACATCACCACCATATGCTGCGCGTATTTTTAAACACCACATTTGAACGAACAGGAATCATCGATTAACCACTAAACTGGACCTCCACAACTAAGGATACTCCTCAATCAATGGCTGACTTCGGCTGCTGATTGTGATATCAAGATTGGATGCGGGCTTTGGCTGCGAGGCGTCGAGGTGCTTCTGGAGACGAGGATCGGTTAATATCGGTCCTGCCTCCGCCTTCACGGCCTGTGTGTAAGCTTGTAGTTCGTTTGCAAGTGCACGAAGGGCGACCTGAGGCGTGGAGAGGATTTGAGCGGCGTAAAATCTAAGCTTCATCTGGATGTGACTAGGAACCCCAATTGAGCGTGGGGCGAAAAGCCTAGAGAGGTCCGAAAGTGCGGCTAATAATGTAACAGACGCGTGATCATTTAATGAGTTGATATCGGAAGATGCGGCGACCACTCTTCTCGGTCTCACTATGATGAAGAGATCATGCGAGAGTACTGATAAGGATTCAGCGCCCACGGTGCCCTTTAACAGGATTGAGTACCACCTCGGTGATTAATAACAAATCAAGACATACAGGGTCAAAGCGTGAACACACATCAGTGACGGCACTGCTCAACGTTGAGTACAGCACTTTTGACTGATGAGCTACTAGAAACGGAACTGCTTGCGAGATGATTCTACGCGCCTCCGCTTCATCTGACGCATCGTTTTCCGCCGAGGATAGCGGAGAAACGGAGAGATGGCGGGTAGCAAACGTATAAGCAACACTATCACGATCATGACATCACCTGGTTATGGCAGAGTTTAAAGACTCACAGGACAGCACAAATGTTGTACATCAGAGCGGGACTACTAGACTGACGCTTTATCAGGTTGAGCGGGACTTCCATCAGGGCAGGTTTGGATCCATATCGCATGCCCCCGCTTGGAGATCCTTCCAGAGGAGCCTCCCACCACGGCTCAAGCCTCACAGACTGCAGTTCCTCACTAGAAAGTAATTGTTGGGCCAGCTGGCTGGTTGGGTCTCTGAGTGCATTGAAGAACTTGTCTACTTCTTCCTTGGTCAAAAGTCTGAGTAATTCATCGGATGATGCTGAAGCTAAACCGACAGCAGTTGGCTACGAACTAGGTAAGGAATTAGGATCACGCACAAATATCAACACCAGCAAATCTGCAGATAAGATCATTGGCGTCACTGTCGGATTCGTCCTGGTCACGCAGCAGGTTGCTATCTTCCTCTTGAATTTGGTCTTCGAGGCGCTTCAGTAACTCGAGCATCTTTTCCCTCTCCTCATGTGTTTTCGAAGACTTCGGTTTGATGCTGGTCTGTATTTCCTTTCGATAAAATGTCTCCGAACATTGGGAATGAGCCTGCACAAATCAATTGTCTTGTCATTCAGCATAAGTTATTATGTACCTACCTCTGAGCGAAAACACGTCAGGCTGCAGTAAGAAACATTGCACACCGGGCACGTATACCTAGAAAACTGTCTACGGCAGCTTCAGAGAGAAACAAATAGCATCTGAAAAATAAGTTCTCGAGATGACATGGTTCAAATGCACGTACACGCCACATAATACCTTGCCTTCAGTAGATTTCGAGTCGTCTTCACGAATTCGAATATGTTCCGCGTCGCTCATGATGATGAACCACAGTATAAAATAGTCAGGGAGAAATAATGAAGACGTTGAGCATCTTCATTCCAGACTCTGATTGAGAGATAATGGCGGGCGGCGGGAACTATGGCGGGAACATACCTTTCTTGGGCAGTTCACTGCTTTTGAAATATCGACCACAACTCTGCAACGAGTATTACTGGGAAGAGACCACGGTCTTCATCCATCTTCCATTAAGCTGTTTGGAAGACGCAACAATGGTGGAGGCACGACTGGTTGACTCTAAGTCAACATTCTCTATTTTTTCTCATCTACTAGATGCCCGGATACTGCGCGCCCTTGCAGACATGGGCTTTGCCCGCCCAACCCTCGTCCAGGCAAAAGCCTTGCCCATTGCACTTGAAGGCCGCGATATCCTTGCAAGAGCTCGGACAGGCAGCGGCAAAACGGCTGCATATTGTATTCCGATCGTGCAGAAAATTCTGAGTGCGAAATTTGTGGGTGTATCATATTCTGATCAGTCGTTTTGAAAGCTCATTGACTTTTGCCACAAGTCATTATCCAACTCAGATGAAGGTTATCAAATGACGCGTGCTGTAATTCTTGTGCCCACTCGCGAACTGTCCGAACAGGTCACAACATGCCTTCAAAGCCTCCTCACTTATTGCGAGAAGGAGGTTATCGTTGTTAACTCGGCAACTGGTTCCTCTACACATCTGCAACGGTGAGATCGTTTCTGCTGTTCATATCGCTTGCTTATGACTCGAGTATCTAGTGCACTTCTTGCAGATAAGCCAGACATCGTCATTTCAACTCCTTCTCGTGCCCTCGGGCTGCTTCAATCAAAGGTGTGTCAGGATCTCACAGTACATACAAGGTGTACCTCATACCCATCCAGACTTTGAACCTCTCTTCACTGGAATCCCTTGTTATTGATGAGGCTGATCTCATTTTGTCCTATGGGCACGATGAGGACGTTCGACAAATTTTTACCGGAGGATATCTTCCAAAGGTTTATCAGTCATTCCTGATGAGCGCAACCATGACAGATGATGTTGAGACACTGAAGGGCCTGGCTCTTCGTAGTCCAGTGAGCTCATCGTCTCACCGACTTTTTCTCTGTTTCATGCTAACTTCGGTCTTCAGGCTATCCTGAAGCTGGAGGAGGATGAGGATGAGGCATCACTCCTGAGCCAATATTCTGTTCAGTAAGTCCTGCATGACATGGCTTCGTCACTTGCTTAATTCCTACCTCTCTTAGGTGCTCCGAAGTCGACAAATTCCTTCTCACATATGTCATCCTTAAACTCCGCCTCGTAAAGGGCAAATGCATCCTTTTTGTCAACGACGTCGACCGCTGCTATCGCTTGAAACTCTTCTTGGAACAATTTTCAATAAAAAGCTGTGTGCTAAATTCTGAGCTTCCCCTCAATTCTAGGTGGGAGGGACCTGTGATACGTGTCTTCGCGCTCAACATTTTATAGATACCATACAGTGCAGGAGTTTAACAAGGGCGTTTACGACTACATCATTGCAACTGACGAAAACGCGACCAGCGCAGAAGCCGATTCCGACGATGAAACCGAGGAGGATGGACTTCAGGACGATGCTGGCGACGAATGTAGGTTATCTTTGTTTTGAACTTCCATTGCTTCTAATGGCTCCCAAGTGACGCCAACACAACGCGCACGGACAAACCCAGACGAAGATGTCCAACCTGAACCTACGTCTACAAAGCGGAAGCATCCTGACAATGCTCCTCAACCTGGCCCTTCCAAATCAAAGAAACCGAAGCGCCGTACGAAGTCTGACAAAGAGTATGGCGTTACACGTGGAGTGGACTTTGTCGACGTTGCTTGTGTGCTCAACTTCGATCTACCCACGTCATCTCGGTCATATACTCATCGCGTAGGCCGCACTGCCCGCGCTGGGCGGGCAGGCATGTCATTATCCTATGTCGTTCCTAAAGACCAATGGGGTAAAAACAAGGTTGTCGGTTGCCTTGAAAGCGCAAAGAATGACGAGGCTGTCTTTTCAAAGATCGAAAAACAACAGGCAGCCCGGGGTTCCAAAATACAAGAGTACAAATTCGATATGAAACAAGTGGAGGCATTCCGGTATCGAATGGACGACGCGCTACGGTCTGTGACAAGAAGCGCTATCAAGGAGGCTAGGATCAAGGAACTTAAAGCTGAGATTATCAACTCGGAAAAACTCAAAGTGGGTACACTAAGATTCGTTTTACTTTCTGCATCGCTAATGGACTGCAGGCACATTTTGAGGACAATCCACTCGATCTCGAATATTTACGCCATGACAAACCTTTACATCCCACCAGGGTTCAGGCTCATATGAAACATATACCAAAATACTTGCTTCCTCGTCTAGTTTCAGCACCAGCTGTTGAAGCTGAAGAGCCCACAGTTGGTTTTGTGCCATTCAAAAAGTCTTCTGCACGCGGTCGCGGCCGTGGTCGTGGGGGCAGAGGTGGGGGCGGAAGTCGCGGTGGGAAGAAAAAATCTGATCCTCTGAAAAAGTTTCGGTAGTTTGTCACCGGCCGGTAGTGAAGATGTATTCAAATTTTGGTATCACTTCCATCTCATTCGGAAACACCTTCATCCCAACCCTTTGACCTCTCAACGGCACGCAGCCATGCAGTCCACCCCCTTTCCCGATCCTCCTCGGGCATGTGAGGATTGAAAGTTCGGCTGCCTTTGGTGTTGACTTCCGCCAACGTCGCTGGCTTAGATATGTCCCAACCAAATAGCCGGATGGCTGAGCCAGCAAGAAGGGCTGAACCTAGCGCTGTTGATCTGTTTCAATAGTCAGTGTGATATCCTCCGTTCTGGTTACAAGTGTATACATACTCTCTCATATCAGGACGGACAACGTCGAAACCGCCGATGTCTGCCAATATCTCCATACAAACATCGCCATTGGTCATCCCTCCGTCGACCTTAAGGTGTTTGAGCTCCGTGCTTGAATCAAGTTTCATGCTCTCAAGAACTGCACGGGTCTGGAAAGCATTGGCTTCCATCGTCGCACGAGCAATGTGTGCGGGAGTGGTATACGAGGATAATCCTGCCCTCGAAATTTGCCATTATGTCAATGGGAAATGGTGAATTCGGCGTACCGATAAGCAGGCCTGCAGCACCGGGGTCCCAATATGGTGCGAGGAGGCCAGAGAAAGCAGTAACAAAATACACGCCCCCAGTATCAGGGACTGAAGCTGCCAACGTGTTTATCTCGCTGGCGGACTTGATAAAGCCCATAGAGTCTCGCAACCTGACACGGATACTCAAGAGATGCGGTAGACCAAGGTGACTTGCGTCTTACCATTTGATGGCGCTTCCAGCAACTCCGACTGCACAAGATAATCGCATGCGCGTAGAAGTAGATAATATTAACACACTTACTACTTCCTTCCAATGCATAGACTGGTGCGGCCCCTGGACCGGGCTGGTAGGCCACCTTTCGAATACTTGTAAGCATTAGTGAGCGAAACACGAGAAAGCTCTCTACCGTGCTCAGAAGTCCATGACCACTCTTGACAATGTCCTTTCCCGTACAGAACAGGAGGAACGCACCCGTACCATATGTACATTTGGCTTCTCCTTGTCGGAGACACTGGTTTCCCACCAAAGCGCCTTGCTGGTCCCCGACGAGTCCTCCGATAGGGACTGCCTTCAGTGGGCCGAGAGACAGATGACCATACACCTCTGAAGAAGACACAAGTTTTGGTAGTATCGACTGTCTGAAACCGAAAAACCTCAGCAACCGCTCATCCCAAGTAAGCTTGTGTAGGTTTAGCAGAAGGGTGCGAGATGCATTCGTTACTTCGCCAACATGAATGCCCCCCTGGACCCCACCTGTAAGATTCTGCGCGTACATCAGCACATGCTTGCTTTCATCGAGGTGGAATACCTACATAAACAACCCACGATTCGATTGTTCCGAAAAGTAGATCATCTTCGTCATGTGCCTTCTGGACTTCACTGTGGTTGTCAATCATCCATCGAAGTTTGATCCCAGAGAAGTACGTCGAGAGCTTTAGGCCCGTACTACCCTCAAGTGAGTAGCTAGAGCCTCAACAGCTACACCACTCACATGTCACGTAGAGCTTCAACACCTTCTTCTCCGCTCTTAAACTGTCCAGGTTCCACCTCGAGTCCGGTCGTAGCCAAGAGGTGCTCAAAGTGAGCGACAGTGTTCTTGGTACGAGAATCGGTCCAAACGATAGCTTTGCATAGAGGTTTACCAGTACTCCGACTCCATGCAACAGTGGTTTCACGCTGGTTCGTAATCCCTGCAATTCATGATAGATGAACCTTTTGGGGAGGATGAACGCAAGTACCGATCACTTTCACGCTCTCCTTGGCCCATCCCGCTTGCTCGAGTTTCTCACAAGTCTGGGCGATGCACTCCTCAGAGATTTGTTGTATCTCTTCAGGGTCGTGCTCATGCCACCTGCGTGCAGCGCCTGTAAGGGATCGAGTGTCTGATTAGAAATTGGACTCACCCTGGGTTCGGGTAATACTGCGGGAACTCCGATTGATGCTGAGAGACGATGTTTGCGTACTGGTCAAAGACGATAAACCGCACGGAACTGCAAACATGGGCCCAGCCGTCATTGACTAGTCAGTAATCACGAGGAAGATCAATAGCCGTACGTCGTGCCGCAATCAAGGGACCCAACAAACTCGCCCTGTTTTAAATTTGACATGATGGAGCAGAGAGATGGAGAGAAGGATCTTTGACGCTGGTGGCCCCTCAATCAACTCCCATTCCGTCTAACAGCTAAGTGAACAGACTCTATCATGATAAACTTTGTTCCGGACCGGCCGGCCCACCAACTAGCCCCTCGACGAGCCCGCCCAAAGTAGCTTGAGCTATGTATGCTAGTAGCTTTAAAAAAGGACACGATAGAAAACGGTGAACGATAACGACACAATGCGAGAATTATTTAACGAAGATCGCCATGCTGATAGGTCGTGTAACGTAAGTGCCGGATAGCGGGGACGTCTAGAGTACATATCATGGCACACCATAAGCTTCTTTCTCTTCTTGAGTCCATTCAAAGACAGGTAGTGGGTGAGCTTCCGTATTAAACACCCATTGATCCAAGGGCACGATGTCGTCTTCTCGGAAGAGAAGATAGAGATACTTCAAAGTTTCGGCCAAGAAAAAGCTGTCGTGACGACATGAGAAACAAATACATGGAGACGCGGTTAGGCACGAACCTAGGCATCGAGTCAAGCTGTTCTGGGTCGGAGGAGTGCACCTTGCCAACGTTGGCGTACCCCGAAGGAGTCTTCGCTTCGCGTTCGATGGCCTGGAAGATGGCCCATCCGCGGTGCCGCCATTTCACATCGCCAGTGACGCGATAGAGGATGTAAAGCGACTCCACAGTCTGAAAAAGCGGATGTCAGGACGCGATCATCAAAGACCTATTATCTTGCCTCAGGTCGCAGTTGGTACACAGCACTCCGAATGTGATAGTCTCTCATGGCGAAGGCCATCTCACGCTCTCGCGCATTCCTATTGGTGACATCTCCTACCCAAGGGCGCTTATCTCCTACTCCAGGTGGGGGACCTTTACTACCAGATGCCTTCCAGTCTTGCATAGCGTCCATCCACGGTATCTCGGGACGTACGCCGCCAGATAGCATAGTGACGACATCGGGTCCCAACCCTGTCGGCTGGTCGGCGTAAGTCAGGTAACAGGTCTGTGCTAGCCCTTCGGCAGCCCATAGGTGCAAATCTGCAAGATTGAACGAGGCGAGTTCCTCATAGCCCATCTTGTGTTTGGGAAGCAGGTCATCCGCAAGCTCGGTGAAGTTTAGTCCAACCTCTTCGAGATTGTTAAGCGGAAGAGTGTGAGCCCCAAGGGCGAGTAGGCCAGGGAAAAAGCAAGATAGGTGCTCGAAGTTGTGTGAGGGGCGATTACCGCTCATGTACAAGTTTGAATCCGTGACATACAGAAGGTGGCGGTTCGGCGAGATGAACATCAAGTTATTAAAAACGTGGGAGGTGAAGCGGAGGTCTATGAAGTATACATAAGCAGAGACGAGTTTGGTAAGGGAAAACTTACACATCTCAAGGTTTGCCTTGTCCTTGCGAGCAGTCATTAGGTACTGCTTGAGGGTGTACTCGTGAGCACTGTCGGAAGCTGCACCAACGGAAAGGCGTGCTGGTCATCACAAGAACGCAGTCAGCGGGTGTTTGCTATCTACTATGCATTGCGCACGCACCGTCTTTTGACTGTCCCGACGACAAATTCCAATGCATCGGATACATACCGCCGTGGTCTCGCAATTTGGCATTGTAAAAGTTACGCGTGGCGGTCGTAGCCTGCGCGGTGTTTGTTCAGAATGGAATACGCTCCACCCTATGCGGGGTAGAGTTGATTTTGAACTCACTCGATCGACATGTTCCTTCTTACCAGTAATCTTACCGAGATACGCGTATTCCATTTGATAGCTTGCAATTTCTGCCAAGCCTCCGATTTTAGGTCCGTCGTGGGTACCTCTAAATCAATCACAATCAGGCATACAGAAACGATATCAGCTGATAATAATAGGGGATTACCGGATTGTGTTTACGGAAAACGTAGGAAAACCACTGGAAGTGTTGAATGCAGGAGACAATATTGTGCCAAGTTCATCAGCACGAGTGCGCAATATGTCGTCTTTACTCAGTGCATAAGCGGAGAGGAGGCCGCCAAGGTAACGTATGACGGTCTCAAAGAATGGCACGTGGGTATTCTATGTGCAACTTGAGCATCGCTGAAAGATGGTAAGGAACGCCGCTCACCGTTGGTAGGGAAAAGTTTGTATTGTGTACGGCTGACATTGCGCGCTTATACTCTTGGTCCAAGCCCATTATAAGCATCGTGTCAAGGGAGTCAACTGCAGTGACGGCCCATCCATTGAAACTTTTTGTGTTACGTGAGTAGATGCGAAGTGATAGAAGGCATTTGTAGCCTCACTTATCGATACTGCCGTTCGATACGGGACAAAGCTCATCCCTCGGGAAAGCGAAGCGTTCATAACCATGATATGCATGCAAGAATGCGTTTCTAACTTGGACGGATCTTTCTGCCCACACGCCTGGTGTCTCTTGAGAGTAGTAAATGACATCGGTGGAAAACGAGTAGCCGGTATGTGGGAGGTAGTTGAAGTAGATTGTCAGTAATGATATGCAAAGGGCAAATGCGAACACGACATGACGAATGGAGATTCCTCTGCGACGAAGTGATGAGACAGCTGAATTGTTTCGTAGGAGGCCAGCAGGAAAATTCATAGTTGAGAGTAAGAGATGGGCCCAGGGAAGCCTGTAAGCGGGTGGTGCAACTAGTGAACTTGCTCCGCCGGAACACCCACGGTAGGTGGATACGGGGTGGAAAGCGAGCCCGCGACCAACGAGAAGGCAGTAAACCAGGAGCACCAGATAACTCTGGTACAATAATTAATCGACCAGGAGTCTAGGAGAACGACGAGGGGAAAGTTTTAAACTAGTAGCGCAAGGGAAGTGCATACAGTACAGCCGAGGTAGATAAATTGACCACGTGCACGTGGCAAAGTCAGCAAATCAGGAAACCAACAACTCAGAAAACACTGCAACTGCTCAGCGTTGATTGAGAAGGTGCTCAGATGCAACGGAAAGCGATACGAAACTACTACAAGAGTTACTGGGAATATATCTGAATATTTATCTTGGTTTCTGATTATTTTATAGTATAAATTTAGCGGAAGCTGGCGGAGCTGAGTTTGAAGTCGTATGAGAATTGGGAAATGAATATACCAATGTTATGCTCAACATCATCCTCGAGCAATGTCTAGCTTCGACAAGACAGTCAAGCTAGCCTGTAAACCAAAGGCCGCCCCTCCAAAGGCAAAGGTATATATTTCAATACCACTTGTAATTTGGTTTCTCGCTAACTTTCGTATCCCCTAGTACCTAGATCCCATCATTGCAGCTACTTGGTCTGAAGACGGGGCTGTCCATGATGTTTGCAAAGCGCTCGTTCCCCGCCTTCGCGAACCCAATGCCATCGTTTGTTCCCTGATTTCTCGCACTCTCGAGCACAGCTGATGATATACATAGGTTGTGTTCAAGGCACTGATCGTGCTCCACACCATGATTCGCAATGGAGCGACAGACAACGTCTTGTCTCATCTATCTTCGTCGGAAGTTCTCCGTCTGAAAAATGTCTCCGCAGGTAACTGGGAAGGTATGTCTTACTTATCGATTCCTAGACCCACTTATTTGACGCTTTGCCAAGGATACCACGCTCCCCAGAATCTCCAGCACTATGCAGTTTATTTGGACTCTCGCATACACGCATATCGTGATTTGAAGCACGATGCGATTCGTGTTCAAGCAGAGTCTAATCGTGACATGCGCGTCAACAGTTCTATCGAAGAGGATATGGCATACACCAGTGCCCCAAAGTCAGCATCCACAAAGTCCAAGGGTCCTCAGAGGAGTAAAACCATCATGGGAAGGAAATTGCGGGTCATGACTGTGGACAAGGGCCTACTCCGTGAGACCAAGACCGTGCAAACAATGATTGACACCCTGGTGGAGTGCAGGGTACGCCTACACGTCCGACACTGCCAACGTCACTCACAGTATCCATCAGTTCTATCTTGACGATTTGGAAGATGAATTGACAATAACTGCGCTACGGATGCTCGTCAAGGATTTACTTATTCTTTTCCAGGCTGGCAATGAAGGCGTCATCAATGTATTAGGTTGGTTTATCGGTCCCGCATGTCACTTTTTCGCTAAATGTAATCCTAGAACACTATTTCGAGATGACAAAGGTTGACGCCGAGCAGGCCCTGTCCATATATCGACACTTCTGCACTCAGACAGAGCGAGTGGTGGAGTACTTGGGCGTCGCCAAGAAATTGCAGAATTTACTAAATGTTTCAATCCCGACCCTGAAGCATGTAAGTAGAGCTTTCCTGTCCTTTCTAGACCACTCACATATACGAACAGGCTCCTGTATCATTGGCGGGTGCACTCCAAGAATACCTGAACGACCCCAATTTCGAGCAGAACAGAATTGAGTACAGGACAAATAAAGAAGCTGCTGACAAGAACGGCAGAAGTCGCAGTGGGACTCCATCTTCAGCGCCTAAAGGTGACTTGGTCTACTTTCAGAGAGTTATTCATCTGACTTCTCCCCAGCTTCATCGTCACAAGCGACGCCATCCACATCTACTGCATCCACATCTGCCCCATCAAATAGGTCATCCACTCAAGCTTCCAACCCCGCACCCAAACCTGAAGCTAGTCGGGCTATGGACGACTTCTTTGCTTCTATCGAGGAAGATAAACCCACCAGGATCAATCCTACGAGTGGCAGGTAAGCCACGAGTCACGGCGATATCCCAAGGATCTTACTAATTTTCCCACAGCCCAACCTCCAATTACCTCCGTCAACAGCCAGCACCCAATCCTTTCGTTCAGCGACAAATGACCGGTGCTTTCCAAGGTCAACCTTTCGGTTTCCCTGATCAAATTCAACCGCAAGCCACTGCCTTCCCTCAGTCCTTCCAGTCAGTTCAGCCCAACGCCTTTGGTATGCAACCACCACCTTCTCAACATCAACATCGACCTTTCTCCACCTTCTTGCAACCACAAGCTACTGGATTTGCGATGCCACAAGGCGCAGGTTTCTTGCAGCCTCAAGCTACTGGAGCAAACCCGTTTAGACAAAGTATGATGCTGCAGGGGTCAGGCACGCCAGTTTTCAACTTTGCGGCAACCAATGCCTTCTCGCCTCCATCGCAGCCTATTGGGCAAACAAACACACCGTTCCAGTTAAATTCCCAGCCTCAGCCATCTCAGCCATCATTTGCACAGTCATCGAATGGATTTGCTATGCAGGCACCTCCCTCGAGTACACCGTTTGGACAGATCAATGGGATACGTACATCATTTGACGTCCCTACTCGGCCTGCGTCGACCCCCCTCACAACTTTTGGGGCAACACAGGCATCTTCAACCTCGCCGCCAGTAGCACAACCTGTCAAATCCCATCAGACTGGTTCACGTAATCCGTTCGGTGTGCCAATCACACCAGCTCCGCCAGTGCCAAAGCCACCAACACTGATGGAGCTGGCGATGGGTATCGGAAGCTCGAACAATGTTCCCTCCGCTGATTATGCACCGCCTCAGACTCAACAGCCACAAAAGACGGGCTTTTTTGGAACGTCAGGCGGCGAGTCGTCGATATCGAGTGTTGCCTCGTCCTTTGCGTTCGGCCGGAAATCAGAGGACAGTAATTTTAGCCCTAGCGAGTTTGGACTACTCAACCCTGAAAGCTCATCCTCCACCACGACTGCATCAACTGCATCGTCTTCCCTGTCTTCTTCTTTTTCGCCGCTGTCCACGCAACCTACTGGTGCCACCATCACCTCTTCCACTCCTTCCATCTCGGCTCCAGGTGGCCAGCTGAAGCCCCAAATGACCGGATTCAGTGGCATCAAGCCATTTAAACCGACGTCATCTTTTGGGGCATCGTTATTGGAATCACTGCCTCCAATACCCCAGTCCGGTCCCACTACTCCCAGTGTCACTGGTACGCCTAGTAACCCGCCTTCCGCACCAGCCCCGAACGGGACAACTTCTCCTTTTGGCGTTTCAAGCATCGGACAGCAGCCCACTGGTTTTGGAGCCTTTAATGCACAGCCAGATACAAGGCCCACGCTCGGGGTCGGTCTTAGACCCCAGGCAACCGGGGCAGCCGGTGGAGCTAACCCTTTCAGGGCTACGATGTATGGCACGTCTTCGCCAAGTGCCGGGGGCGGTTCTATGCTATCCACTATGAGCTCGCTGCCACAGTTTGGCGCAATCAACGGATCCTCATCCTTTGGATCCAGTTATGGAAGGGGTGCTTTTGGATATCCTGGTGCCCAGGATCCCTCGCAGCAGCCTTTCCAGCAGCAAAGCGGGACAACGTCGCTTATTTAGTCTTGCTCACGACTTATTACTGTCTAATTCACGCATCTATTCTTTGTCAATTTTGTCTCCTATCGCTATCCCTCACTCAAGATCCCCCCCACTATCGTTTACGCTCACGGATATCACATTGCCTGGACCTCCCATTCATTCCTTCTTAGCTTTCGTCTTTTGTAATCTAGTAGTCGAGCTTGTACAAGCGTCTTGAATACCAATTTTTTGCTGATGCAGTATGAGTTTGACGAGTTTGAGGACTCCAGTAACGTTGAGTGGCAGCATCAAAGACCCCGAGCCACCGTTACCGTGATCAGAAACCGCGTCAACAATCCACGCTTCCTGGCGCTGGCTGCACTTTGTTCTTTACCGCCACCAACCTTACCATTACAGGTGTCTAACCTACTTCAGGATGGCCTCGTGAGTTGCGTCCCGAAGGTACCTGGTACTCTGTTTTGACAAAAAGTATCATGAATGCAGGGAACAGTCAAAAGCGGCGAAGACAAATGCCACCGACGCGTCTGCGCCAGAGATGACTGTTGAGACTGCTCTTGAACATGCCAGACGCGCATTCGCCCTCAAAAAGTACGAGCAAGCAGTTGAGCACTATGCTACTGCCCTGGAACTTCAGTACGTGACCAGAGCAGGACTCATTGGACGTGGTTCTGACGCGCTACGTATCTTCGTGCCACTAGAACAAAGAGGCATGGCGAGGATGCGCCAGAAACAGCTAATCTTTACTTCTCGTATGGAAAGGCGCTGCTAGAAAACGCGATATCACAGGCGTCAGTGTTGGGTAAAGAACAACCCGAGAACGGAGATGAAGCAGAAGAGAAACGTGCGTGACGCGTTTGATTTACTTCGTCGCCTCGGCTGATCACTGAATAGCCTCAGTCAACGGAAAGGGTCCTATTCTATCCTTTTCCGGGGATGCGGATGAAGGCGTAGACCTTTTTGGTCAAGCCGCAATTGCAGAAGAAGAAGAAGAGGGTGAGGAAGAGAATGGGGAAGGGGAAGGGGAGGATGGAGAGCCAGAAGATGACTTCAATGCCGCATGGGAAGTCTTGGAGCTTGCGCGTGCAATTTACGAGAAAGGCAAGGATGAAGACGACGAAATCAAAATGAAGCTGGCTGAGACATATATTGCCCTCGGAGATGTATCTCTCGAGACGGGTATGTCGACCTTTACTCGCATAAGTATCCGCATAATAACACTCTACGCTAGAGAAATTCGACCAAGCTATCACCGACTACTCAGAAGGACTTGCACTCAAGATCGATCTTCTCCCGATTTCATCGCGTCAAATTGCTGAAGCACACTATAAGCTCAGTATAGTGCTTGACCTAACATCTGGACGCCTTTCGGATGCTATTTTGCACGCGGAGAAAGCTCTGGCAAGCGTCGATGCTCGCCTAGCCGAACTGCGTGACGGAATCGACGGAAAGCTGTTCCCTGCCCCCAGTCAGGAAACCAAGGCGGATAAAAAGGGCAAGGGCAAGGGCAAGGGCAAGGCCGTCGGCTCGGGGGTGCATGCAGATAGCGTGCGGAATCTGACCAAGAGTCAGATGGAAGCCGAAATTAAAGAGTGTGAAGGATTACAGGAAGACCTCGCTCTAAAAGTGAGCCCTTGCAGCCTCGGGAAGTGTACACTGATAAAGTTTCTGTATAGGTGGAGGAACTTAAAACAACTCCCAGTGAACCAACAGAGTCTGCTCCTGCAATGGTTGCAAGAGCGCTAGATGCGGAATTGAATGCCAAGCCAGTATCTGTCCCCGGCCAACCAGCAGTGGTTAATGATTTGACATCGTTGGTTGTGAAGAAGAAGAAGAAGGCTACCGAAGCAGATGCACCGGCTAAACGCAGAGCAGACGACGGAGATGGTGATGCCAGCCCTACTGCCAAGAAGGCAAAATTGGAAGAGGATGTACAATCATGAGGATCTGCCGGCATATTATGATTTATTGCAACTGCTGCGTTAGTCACTTTCTTTAGAATGGTACACTGGTTGCTGTGATAGCTGCGTGCTTAAAGCTCTTCTTCCCCTCTCCTATGCCAAACTCTCTTACGATGTGACCACTCTCCGCCTTGCTCCTCATCATATATTTGTAGATGACAAGTCCCTCAAGACCCACTGGTCCACGAGCGTGTATCCGTCCTGTACTAATTCCTACTTCAGTACCGAAGCCGTAACGGAATCCGTCTGCAAAACGCGTGCTAGCATTGACAAATGTCCCTGCAGAGTCTACGCCTCGGCAGAATGCAGACGCGGCAGGTTCGGACTCGGTCACGATAGAATCCGTGTGATGGGAGGAATGAGAGTTGATGAATTGAATTGCAGAATGCAGGGAAGGCAGAGCTATGACAGACATCGTAAGGTCAAGGTGCTCGATAGAATAGGAGGATTCTGTAGACGAGTGGACATGACTCGAGAACTTTTCGGGGAGATTCGGAAGCGAGGCGAGTGCTGACAAGGTATGCGAATCACACAAGAGATGAACGTCTGCTGCCAAGAGTGCTTCTGCAACCTCTCGCCACACCGTGTTCAGAAGAGAGGTGTGGATGATAAGGGTTTCTGCTGAATTGCAAGCAGACGGATAATCCGTCTGGCATATGTTGTCGTGAGAATGTGATCGTCATCTATACAATTGCCTCACCTTTGAGTCGACGACCACACGGACGGCCTTTTGACAATTAGCAGATTCATCGAGATAAACGTGGCACAGTCCATCCGCATGTCCCATGACTGGTATCCGCGTGCTGTTCTGAATCGCCTTTACAAGACTGTTGCTCCCGCGGGGAATAACCAAGTCAATGTAGCGGTCAAGATCCAGTAGGGCGGAAACTTCTGCTCTCGTCTGGATGGCTTGGATATAGGTGCTCGGAAGTGAGGTTTGTGCCAACCCCTGCGAAATAGCCTTGGCAAGGAGATGTGTCGTGTGGTTCGATTCCTTTCCGCCTTTGAGGATCGCAGCGTTTCCTGAAAACGACCGGTCCGCATGCACCAAACGACAAGCTGGAGATAACAGGCCTACCTGACTTGATCGCCAGAGCAGCGATATTTACCACAACCTCGGGGCGTGCTTCAAATATGACGAGAAGAACGCCTATCGGACACGAGACGCGATACAGTTCGAGACCGTCATCGAGCTGTGAAGCATAGGAGACGACTCCGGTCGGATCGGGAAGGTCTGCAACATCTTGCACGCCCTTGAGCATGGAATCCCACTTATCGCCCTTTCCGAGGTCGAGACGGTTCATCATCGCGTTGGATATCCTGCCTGCATTGACCTCGACTTGCGCTGCCTTGGTATGCAAGCAGAGTCGCAGAATATGTGAGGATCATTATAGATTTTGGACCTAGAAACAATGCTGCACCTCCATGTCCAGCCTATTTGCTGCGAGTATCTCAGTTTTGTTAGTCTCCAGCTGCTGTTTGATCTTTGCGAGGGCATCTTTTCGGACAGCAGCAGGAAGTAACTGAGACTCTTCGAAGGCTGCTTTGGCAGCTTTTGCGATTTCTTCCGCGGCAATATCAGATCCCATCGATAGTGTTGACAAATAGATGCTACACTGAAAAAGAGTCTATAGTCTGAAGAGGGGAAACGTAGCACAAAGCAGTAGGATCACCTACAGCGATCAGATTGTAACTCTTGTTTGTAAATATTACTGCTATTCAACTAGCAATAGCTCCAGCAAGTTCGACAGATCGTAAATAAATTTTTGATCGTGGCATGGAGACCGCGAGGTGCACTGCAAGGTAAAACAAAAGATGACTTCCGTGCATTGACTCCCGCATGTGTATTGGCAAAGAGCAGTCACACGATGTCAACGTGGAGGATAGAAACCGCCCTCCATCTAAGTAACAGCTGCGGTCCCGTTATATGTACTCTCCTTGAAGATTCTTTATATAGATCAATATATCGGGCCAAACTATAGATCCGTAGCTACGTAGCACTTTCCTATAATCTCAGCTTCTGTTTTGTGACATGCGGTCTAGTGCGGCGCCTTCTATACGAGATCTCGCGCTGCACGAACGTGGCAGCGGCATTGGCAGCCCTTCTCCTGCACAACGGTGGATCGATATTTTGCCGACAATAATTGAACCTGATGACATCGAGGTTGAGCTATTTGTCCGAGTAGCAAATGAAGCCGGCACATTCCCGCTCACAATAGTGTGAGATGATCTTATAGTACTGTATCCATGTTTCGGCAAGCCAACCGTTGGTGGCCCAGGCGCCCAGGTCTCCTTGGTCGTTGGTATAAAAGAACGTGGTTGACTATGCTGCCGTTACATCTACCACCTCCGTAACTTGCCAGCATTTGCCATGGTGTCCCGGTCACACGCCTTTGCCTATGCCGCTGTCGCCTCATTCGTTCTACTTGCAAAGGCACAGCAATCCTCTGGCACACCCCCAAGCAGCTGGCCTCAGGTGTACCCGGGAATGCCGAATGGCAACTACAGTCCGGAGTGGCAGGATTGTATGTCAAGCCTTGATTGCCCCTGTAAATGGCAGCTCACCACACACCTAGATTTCCAAGTGACTGACAATCTGCCAAATGTTACATGGCCTCTCGCTCGTAACTGGGCAGGCAACATTCCTGTCCAAAGGGAGGATCATCCAAACGATACCTTGTTCTTCTGGGCATTCGAGAGCCAGGAAGGCTCTTTCACTTCCACTTCAACTGATGCACCATGGGGTATTTGGCTAAATGGAGGGTAGGTAATATGATATCCGCATGTCCATCGTCGATTCTCAGACTGTTGCAGACCCGGTTCATCAAGTCTTGTTGGCTTACTGTTTGAGGTCTGTTTTCTCTTTTATTATGGTCGCAGCCGAATCTGGATTTGACATCGTGCAAAAGAATGGCCCGATCCATGTGCAAAACAATTATTCGTTGTTTGAAAACCAGTATGCATGGAACACAATAGCAGATTACGTCTGGATAGACCAGCCAGTGTAGGTGTTGTGCTTTGTGTTGAACGTCCATTCTCCAATAGAAATAATCCCATTAGCGGCGTTGGTTTCGGAACTGCTGATTCCACTGGTTATAGTGCGTTTAGATCCTACGAGATTTACCTTCCAGCTTACATATTTTCCAGTTGTCGATGAGGATCAAATGGCAACGGACTTCGTCAGTACAATACTATCTTGCTCGCTCCTCAGCATTCCGCTGACTGCGCACAGTTTGGATTCTTGGAGAATCTTGTCAAGGTCTTCCCTGGCCTGGCTAAACGCCCATTGCATCTAACGGGCGAAAGCTATGCTGGCATGTATATAGCGAGTGTGCCGTTTTGCTATAGGTGCAGTACTGACATCATCCGGAACAGCCTTACATCACGAAAGCTTACTTCGAGATGGAGAATCCGCCAGTTACGTTGGCTAAGATAGCCATCGGAGATGGCTCTATTGCTTCTGGAGAGACATTTGAACTCCTCCCGGTGGTGAGCCTTCTGCTCACAAGACGGCGTACCTCATATTCTTGACTTTGTAAAGGTTAGCGCCCTTGAGACGTACCCCCAGATAATCGGGTACGACACTACTGTGTTTCAGTACTTCCGTGAACAGTTTGTACTCATACCTTCATTCTCATGTAATTTCGTTAATGTTCCCCCAGAGAAGCGCTTTGCGGCTATAACCTTACCCTCGAATATCCCCAAAACGGACACTTCCCCACACTGACTTACACTTCTGGAGCAGATCCTAACACATCTGGTATGTCTGCATCGGGGCGATACAGAGCCCGACAGGGTCAATTCTCCAAGAAGCTATTTTTGGCCAAAATGGAACAGAAGTACAACACACGTCTAGCAAAGCGGAGCACCAGTCTATCCAAACGCGAGCGCTTGCGCGCACGGGATGTTTGGAAACGTGATCTAGCTGGCCGTGCAAACGGCACTATCGACACGTGGTACGGGTGCGATGTTTACGATGAGATGCTGGATTATGCCATAAACTTCACCTTCCCGTGGTGTATGTTTGTTGTTTTTATCATTTGACTGTTGCTTATGGAGATGATAGCACTCAGCAAGGATTCTGGAGGGATGTTCGACGTAAGTAATTTTTTGCTTTCGCCACTGTATGCTCATTGCAAGTCGTAGGTGTATAACATCCCCGATGCGCTGAACCCTGAGGCACCCATGGATGGGTCAGTTTTCTTGAACGATCCTCAAACTCGCGCTGCTATCCATGCGCCAACGAGCATGAATTGGGCAGAGTCTATCAACTACCCATTCGGCAACGGTCAGTCTGTTACTGTATTCAAGGATTCCTTTGACTAATGATTCCCGACTCAGACTATTCTAACGGCGATCCAAGTAAGTTTATCCCTTGTCCTCTCGCATAGAATTTCTTCCCGACTAAGTTCTTTTCTAGGTATTGAGTCGGTGGATCCCTTGTATACCTTTACGCCTTCGGTGCTAACTGCGTAGCACAGACCTATGGCATTCCTCACGGAATTGGCCACGAACGCGACGGCCCAAAACATCTCGGTTGTCATATTCTCCGGAAATGACGACTCCCTCATTCCGCACCTTGGTTCACAAAGTGAGTAACTACGGTTTGTTGCATCCAAGTGCTAACTACTTCCTCAGTTACTATCCAAGTATGTTAGACGCCAACCGTTTCATGAAGGAATGCCAGCTAATCGTGCGTAGAATACAACTTTTGGTGGGATTCAAGGCTTCACGCGCAAACCGTCGACACCGTGGTATAACGACGATGGCCAATTTGCTGGTATCGTACATCAGGAACGCAACTGGACTTACGTCCTTGTCGAACATGCAGGCCACCTCGTGGGATATACAAACCCCCAATCAGTACGTCTCGTCCTTCATTTGCAGTGCAATACATTTAGACCCCAGAAACTCTCAAGGGTTTCGTCTTCGTCAGGGAGTTCGTCTTCGGAAGTAACCAGACTGGGCTGGTTGCCAACAATTCTTCGGGAGCTGTGACTGTCATGGGTGGCGAGGTCTCTTCTCTGGCAAATGAGATTATGACGGGACAGGCTGCCATCTACTATGGCTCCGCGACTACAGAGTCCACATACTACTTCCCCACTGCCACTGTGGAAGCATGGAATGCATATATTGCAACCGCTACTACTCAGCCCGTGATAGTTTCGCCGAGACAAATAGGAAGCTCTGCATCGTGGCCAGTGGCGCAGATATGTAGAACAATAGCACTCGGGAGCGTCATCATGGTGTTTACGCTATTTGCATTATAAAGGATCAATTAACGTTATTGAATGGACTAGGAACCTGATTTCGTGTACTTGCGTAGCTCTTACAAGGTATATTTTCGACCACCAACACTGTGGCACAGCGCATAGTTGGCAACTCAGCAGCCTTAGTCTCCCGTAAAACAGCAGCTAGATGATCTCGGAGCAAATCTTCGAATTGGGTTCCTCAAGTGATTTCGGATCGTTCTCAAACACCCAATTTCGCATTCTTCATTCTCGTCAAAAATAATTACGATTCCATTTACTTCATAATTTCAGAGGGCCACAGTATACACACCACACTGAATCTGCCTTTGAATCTGCCTCCTCCGCAACAGCAATCGACTGTATAACAACAAATATAGTTTACACAGTACACACAAACTAGAATATTTCAGCCATAATTCCCCCATCTCCCTCTGCACCACCCTCTGCACCTATCCCTATCCCCGCAACATCCACTTCACCATCTGCATCCACTTCACCCTCCGCGTCGCGCGAGAAAAGGTACAGCGGATCGACAACCTCCGCAAGAGCCTCATTGCGCTCCTCGATTTCCTCGCTGCTCATGGCCACGTGCGAAATGTGTACAACTTGCCACTTGTCTGCATAGGTATCGCTTGCCTGCGGGCGTGTTAGTTATGGCGGTGGTCAAGTGATCGAACACAAGGGCGAAGTGCAGAGAGTTTAGAAGAAAGTTACGCACATTCATCCGCTTCTTCTTAAGCGTCATTTTGCGCTCAATATTCTTGTAGTATGCGCCTGGCCCACGCTCGCCCGTGTCTCCATTGTCAAGAACAAGTAAAAATTCATTGGGCACTTCTTGTTCGATTTTGACAGTCTCATAGTCTCGTACGAAGTGGAATGCCGTTGCTTTGTTCTCTTCGCCGCTTTTCGGTGCTAATCGCTCCTCTTTAAACTCTACGGCATCAGCGTCCTCTTTCGTTAGATAATATGCCAGGAAGTGATCCCCATCGCTTTCCATCGGACGCAGGATTGCACAGTCCAGCCTTGGGTCCTCTGTGTCTACAGGTCGTTCGCCTGGCCGCTCGCTAAAGCGGAACAAGTCATATGCATTCGCCCATATGTCTGCGTCTGGGAGCACCTCGTAGGACTCAACAGCGGTAACCCCAGTCTTGTTGGGATGAGACAGGGTGGCCAGGTCGAGGGATGCGCAAGCGGTGAAGCCGGCCTCGATTGTACGGAGTTGGGCCTCGTGTGAGACATCAATAGGTTGCAAGGGTTGTTTCCTGTCGACCACAAATCAGGTACGTCAAGGCAGAATGAGATAATAAGGGGGACGCACGATTCTTGTGATGATGGAGTGCGCTGCACGCCTTCGCGGCTGAGGTACTCTGTTTTTCGGAGCCAGGGTACGTGTGGAGGGAGAGGTGTCGATGTCCCTGATGCCGCGGGTATTGCACCATTGGTGTAGGGTGCTGCGGACGCTGAGGGGTCACCGAGAAGGAAGCGGTCCTTCGGGTCGAGGGGAGGCAGGTTTTCCAGGTCAGGATTGAGTGCTGTAGGACATTAATTACTATGAGACTACCCCTTGAAGGAGCATCACGCACTGGCATCATCGCCATTCTCTTCCCATAGACACTCCCACCGTCCAAGGTCCAGGGGCATACCGCACTCGGCGTCAACAATCATAGGAAGAGGAGTGTCGTTTGTGATGGCATTGATGAAGGCTGGTTGCGCATAGCGTAAGGGATTTGTAGGGATATCAAGCAGTTTGGGGGGACATGGAGGAGCGGGGAGTGGATTCGAGTACCGAACGCGGACGAGCAAGTCAAGTTTGCTGAGGACAATCAACCAGGGAATCCAAGCAAGGAAATCGATACATACCTCTTTCTGAGACTCATTTTATTTGTTAGCTTCAGACTGGCAGTCAAACCATAAGGTTCTAGCCGGAGTTTTAAACCGAACCTAATGCGGTCCGGCCAGGAGTCTGTCCAGCTTATCCGCACCTGTGACTCCCACGTAAGATAGACCTCGTTCATACACCAGTTCATCACGTGATTTGAGGATAGAATACATGATTTTGGCTCGTTACTCTTTTTAAACTTATAATTAGCTAAATCTGTTCCAAGATCTTGTGGGGATGTACTACAATATCAAAGTGGTCTACTCAGAATCCTCATTTTCGGCGAATTGAAGGAGGAGTAGGCATTTTTGTAGCAAATTCACCCTTGTGACCTATTTGTGACTGATGTGACCGTATCAGTGACTCGGACTTAGATGCGAGGGAGATAAACAATTGAAGCGGCCGTTTGATGTTAAAACTTCAACGATTTCGATGTTCGACACAACGTTCAATAGCCGTTCGAGAATCAATAATTAAATTCAACATGAGGTATTAAGTATATGTGCCACTAATCAAGTTAATCCTGCAGTTTCCAGTTCAACTACAAGTAAGTCACTAAATTATTACATTTTCTTCGTAATTGAACTTTCGCCGTTTTTGATGAGTGGCACCAGCAGGGTTCGCTATGTTTGAAGGCCTCTTTCATGGCATAGTGAGGTAGATAGACTGTAGTTCAATTTTTTGCTTCTCATTTTGATTTAGTGTGTCTGTCACTAATCTAGCGCATCTGTCACGTTGGCGGTGCTTACTTGGGACATTTTGACAATATAATGCCTACTCGTCCTTCAGTTTCTCACATTAGATCATAAAAAATACATGTCCAGCTTGCTACAGACTGTCCACACATAATATTGGAACAGATTTCACTCACACTTTGTGTACAATGAGTTATATGCAGATTCATTGAAATGTCACGCTAGGTCACGTGATGAACTGGTGTATGAATGAGGTCTATCTTATTAGACTTGTGACCAGCCCCTCCATGAGGCAAGCCGTCGATAGAGGGACTGGTAAAACTGGCTTTGAATTTGGATGCTGAGTGGATTCCCAGGGTAACGTGACGGGTAACCCTTTTCGGGGATATCAAAGACCACGTGAACTTTTGCCAAGGCCTTGCAAAGTCTGCTAAGTCTTGTACTTAGAGTTTCTTATCAATGTTCGACTCATTGCGCTAGCCACTCAACAGCGCCTTCATTCGTCACCATTCCTCATGTAACAAATGCTACTTGCTTTTTGTGCTATATATGATGTCCTCTTCAATTCTAAACAGTGACTTTAACTGCTCTGTGGACTCTGGGTTTGTGGATATTACAGGTCCATCAAGCACGTCTTTCACGGAACCTATGATCACACCTTCCTCACGCCTCTCATCAACGGAGCGCATCAAAGCTGCCATTAAAATCCTCCGAGATGGCCATATCAGTATCCTCGACTTCATGCTAAAAATTCTCAATCCGTCAGAGGCTTGCTTTGCATATAATCGCGACTGTATATTCAACTGCTCTCGGCAGGAAAAGATGAGTGTAGATGTTGGGAAGGCTCCAGTGGGAAAACTCGAGAAGATGTTTGATTGCTTGTTCGCAGATTTGCGTGGTCCCACTTGAATGATGGAATGGTTTCGTCCACGTGTCATTTCCTCGGTCTCCACTATAATCAGCCAGGAGATGGATGCGGTGAAGGAGGTTCTGCGAGGGACACTTGACTCGATCACTCTGGAATTCCTCTTGACGTGGGATCTTAATTCGACCATCCAGAATACAGTCATCTTGAAAGCACCAGTCCTCAACTCTATTCTTCATTGTGCTGCTCAAACAGACCGGGCAAAAGATAAGAACAAACTCAAGGACTGCAGTACTGTATGATATGCTATTTTCTATTGTCCTTTTAATGAACATTCTTGCATTCAAAGGCATGTAATATCATCATCACGCAACTCGCTTCTCAGCGTTCGCACCACAGTGTCTTCTTCGCAGCTCCCTTTACCTTATTTCTCTGGGCCAATGGGGCCTCAAAACAAACAATCGAGGCACTCTACCATTGTGGTCTTTGCATATCATTCACGTCTCTCCTTACATTACTCGAGAAGCTTGCAGCGCGTTGTCTCAATCGCGCAAGACAGCTCGCATGTTGGCCACATATCATGTGCTACGACAATATCAACATTAGCACTTCAATCTTTGTGGAACAACGTCCCAATGCTCCTGCCAAAGTGCAATTGGGAACATTTGCTATCCTGTATGAAGCTCGCAATGCAAATCCAGATCATATGCGCATCTCACCAATGCTAAGCCGCATCCTCAATGCTTCTGAGCTGATGTTCAATGCTGATGTCTGTCCTGGTGTTGACCAAATGCAATCATTTCACAGCTACCTTCACGCACACGTTGTCGACATTCTGCTTGAAAACTGCTCCTGCTTTAAGGGTTATCATTGAACAGCAACACTACAGCATGGTGACCGGCGTAAAATGCCCCAAGGCTATCGAACAAAACAGTTCCCTCTCTGCACCTCAACAATTGATGAAAGTTCTGTAACTGGAAATATTGCTGTTATTCACGATGTCTATGTCAATCAGCTCCGAATGCAGCATGAAGAATTTTCTGATCGTGCCATACCTAGTTTCAATGATCAAGCTACCAATGCTCGGATATGAGGGGTGAAAACTCTGTGAATCAAGGACGTAAACTCTTTCACCCATCTTCAGTTCATCCAGCTTGGATTTGGTCTCTTTCATCTCTGCCTCAACCTTGTCTGGGCTCTCCTGCATGTTCATCGAGGATCCATTCATCAAATCGGCAGTCTTTCTTACTTCTTTACCTTGCTGGATCGCAAACAACTCAGATGCGAACATCCTGACTACCACACCTTTCTTGCAACATTGATGCAAATTCTTCGAGGCACTATTCTAAATGCATGGCATATTGAATGTGGATATCCAACACTCGCTGCTTTTGCTTCATCTCAACCTACAGCTGATCAGCTTCTTGCCATTGCGGATGAAATTCTCTCGACACACGCATCACCTGCTCACAAATCTCCAAAAAAGAAACAAAACAACATGATGGATCTCTTCGATGTTGAATCAGAACCAACTGATGTCGCACAACGCAACCTGCAGCTTCTCACCCGTGACTTGCTCTATGTCTTGGAGCTAACGAGTGCTATATCAGCTGGAGACTGGGGATGAATCAAAGACATCCTCGGGAACTTGGCTATGATGTTTCATGGTGCCGGATCAAACAATTACTGTTCCGAAATACTCCACTTTCTGTTCAACCTTAAGAAAATTTGGATGCCTGAGTTTGCATACGAAACCTTTTCATTTCCACCACCGTTCTCATTGTTTCTTTGTCTCTGACATACTTGTCATAGGGACATCATGCAGGACAATGCACTTGTAAACCTTACGGGTCTCGATGGGCACTGTATGGCGATTGACCTTAATATTGAGCATCTCATCAAGTTCTTGAAGGCACAACCTAACCCTGATGGATGCACTAGTACTAACATCATACTATATAGCTCTTTTTCTCAGCCAAGGGTATCTATTCCACATGGGATCGCCTTGGTGATATCTCTGCAACTGTTGCACTGCTTCAAAACATCAAGAAACAAGTTGGACGTGCACTTGGTACCGCTTATTCAGGCACAACTCACACAACTCCTGACACATCCGCATCCACCTGGAAAGTTGCTAACAAGATCAATGAGCTTTCACTCCAGGTGTTCACCCCCGATCGAGAGGAGAATGACTCTGTTAAGCCTATGGTCAACATTCTTTGGGAGGGTGAGCGAAAACTGAAATCCTTGACACTCACAACATTCAATAAGAAGGTGCAAGTGATGTTAGTGGGTGGGGGATTCGAGCCTGAGGAAGACGAGCTGTCAGCAGCTTCATTTGACTTAACAGATGTCGTAGCAGAATGAAAGTCATCATTGTCTCACAACTAGCACATCAATTAGTCAAGTTTACAAGATTTCTTGGCAGTTTGTAAACCTGTTGCTATGTTGTCCTCATCGTACTGTGTGATCAATCTTAGTATCTGTAATCCCCAAATCCTTGCCCATTCCTCGGTCTCCTCCAGAAGCTGACAAACGTTGTCAATGGTCTTCACATTATCCGGACTTGTTTTGCTAAGGAGCTTGAGGTTGTCGTCACTACACAGCCATGTGATTGGCCAAACAGCACAAAGGACACAGCTGGAATGGGTCTCTGCTCTCTACTGATGTAATCTGTCAAATAGTGGCTTTCGAAGGTCCTTCTCGCGAAGTTGGGTACATTTTCGTTTTGCGGGGGCAGCTGAGGACGCCTTGTTAGTGTCTTCGGACTTAGACAGTTGAAGTTGTGAAAGTTATGAGGTCCACCAATCAGTGGAGTCGTTGCATAGGTGATGTTCGCACAATTCATCGAAAGTGCTAATGATACGTGATCCGGCAACATCATGAGTTTACATTGTATAGTTGAGAGAATATGAGGAGGGAATGTTACTGAGAGTGCTTGAAATGATGTGCCTTTGCAGAGTAGCACACGCAGTTCCCTGAGCTTACTGTATGCGGGTCAAAAAGCTTCTTCTCCGTGATGTGACAGTCCTGCTATATAGATATTGTGGGCTTCATCAACATGTACACGCTTGATTTGTTGAGTGAAGGCCCGATCTTGTCGAATGAGTCGGGCAAGACATGGGAGATGCCCATTAAACATAGATAACTGTTCTGGTGAAACAATTAGATGCGAGAACTTTCCAGCATGAATGTCCTAGTTGTATGCTTCTCGTAAGTGTTGAAAATTGCAAAAAGATGCATAGATGAGTGGTGGATGATTACCTCCCAAAGAGATGGATCATTTGGTGTGTCCTTATTGATGGATATTGTATTTATGCCATATTTCACAGACTCAAGAACCTGTAATAGTATATTTTGCATGCGCACAAAGTCATTGCACTTCAGCGGAGTTACCTGTGTGGCCTGGAGCCATTTGAGTGGCGAAATCGTCATGGTCACAGTACCCGGACAAAGTAGGATAGGAATTATGATGCACAGTGTCTTCCCACTGCCAGTGCCTGCAGTTATGATGCTGTCTCGACCATTCAGGGTTGCAGGCATAGCTTCGAGTTGGAATTGACACGGAATGATAACCGTTGCTGTCAGAACATAGATGATCAAGCGCGCTCGCAACGCATCTGTTCTGTTGTTATTATTGAGCATTTGAAGGTAGTCAGTAGGGAGTCGTTCTTTGATTAAATCATGCATGAAGTGATCCAATGCATTGAGGGAAGCATCACAAAAAGCTTGGATGATGGAGGATTGGTCCATTGATTTTGCAAGTGTACGTCGTGTTGCGTTGCGTCAATGGTGGAAATATTATTGTTTATTTTGTATTCTATGCACAGCTTGAAAAAACCTGGTTTTCTCATTGGCCAGACATCACATTACCCTGGGAATCCACTCAGCATCCAAATTCAAAGCCAGTTTTACCAGTCCCTCTATCAACAGCTTGCCTCATAGAGGGGCTGGTCATGAGTCTACCCACATATTGCCTCTAACACATTGGGGTTATCGATATTTAGGAGATGTTTTTATGTTGTACCCAATGTGAAGAAAATATTTGAAATTTAAACTGACATAAAGATGGAGACATAACTTCAAATTTTTGGCAGTGTTTTAAATGAAATACAAAATTTGAAGCATTGGCAACCATATTCCCACCGACCATATCTCAATGACAATAAGTAATTTAATCGGAATTTCTGCGTGTGCTCAAATTTGAAGTTCAATTCTGGCCTAAAACTTTGGGGACCACTACTGGACAAAAATAAATTGTGACCTGATTGTGCATAAGATACAACAGCTCATGATGAATCATGGCAAATAACGGTGTATGATAACCTGTTAGTTGTGGTGATTGAGCACCTTATGGTGCGAGTTATTTGTGTTATGATGTTGCCTTCCTCTATTGGACTCTCACTTAGCATGTGATGTGAATTCCTTACTTCTTAGGCAGTGTTTACACTTGTTTACATAGACTCGCCCATAGGTAGCAAGTCCTGTGGTTGGTTGTCTCTTTAGCAACTGACACTGGACTATAGGTATAGTACACTCATTAGTTTATACACACAATAGCAACTGACACTGGACTATAGTCCTGTTCACTCTCATTAGCTCACTTCTGGCTTGGTTCACTTGGTTATTCTAACAGGTTATGAGCCCTGCGCTTTAAGGACCTCAAGTCATTCATTCCTCATCCAACTGCTGCTCCACTCCTTCCCTAGTGTATTCCATCGCATTCTACGCCCAGGAAACCCTTATCTTTGTGTCTGAGCACC